ACACGTTCGTGTTCGTCGCGGGGCAAATTGCAGCAGCGGCCTGAACACGAACATGTTCGGGCGAACATCGAACACTGTTCGGCGAACAATTTAAGCAAAAAAGGCGAACCGAACAGGTGTTCGCCCTTGTGCTCATGTCTACCTGTAGTAGTCCCGTTCCTTCCTCTTCTGTGCCTCCCTTGCAGCCCAGCCTGGGGGTTTGCGGGCTGCTGGGTCTTGGTTCTGTAGCACGGGGTCAGTGATAGTCGTGTCTGTGATCCAGGTCTCACCACTGTCTGGGTCGCGTACAATCACATCTGCCTTCTTCGGGTCATCCGGTGGTGAGTACATTGCATTCTCTAGGTATACCACCAGCTGTGCCTCCCTCGCCATTTTAGCCACGGCGAAAGCCAGCTGGTTGTGTGTGCGCGTTCCGTCAGGGCCTGTGCTGTAGCGGAGTAGGTGGTTGGGGAGGCTGCAGTCGGCTACGAGCTCTCCACACTCGCACACGGTAGGTACGTTCTGTCGGATGCCCATGCGGAAAGCCAGGGCTGTTCGGAATTGCCCTGGTGAAAAGCAGAGGTCTGGAGTCAGGGGTAGGGCCTGCAGCCATGCCCCCGCTCCCTCACCTCTTAGGCTGACGAGACGGAGTGTGTGCCCCATCTCGGGGGCAGACCTGATTGCGCATGATTCCTCCGTCAGGGCGTCGGCCTTTGCCGCATGCACTTCTCTCTCTCTCGCTCTCTTTCTCTCTCTCTCTCTCTCTCTCTCTCTCTCTCTCTCTCTCTCTCTCTCTCTCTCTCTCTCTCTCTCTCTCTCACCTTGTAGTAAAGGAGTGCGTTGGAGTAGGACCGGCAGGACGGGTCCTGGTCCCGCACAGCCTGGTCAATCAGAGCAGAGCATTGTGCCACGAGGGGGGCAAAGATTAGTTATAGGATGAGGTGAAGTGACATAAAATGAAATGGGCCAGGCTGTGATGGGCAAGTTCCTTTTGATGGGATTGGATGCGATAAAATATGGCATGGATAGGATGACGCAAAGAAACAGGCATGGCACAGCAAGAAAATGGGTCCAAACACAAATAACTGCACAAGCACCAGTGGCCCATCCACCTGCGACAACCTATCTGGACTGTTGTTTTCAGCAGCCATGGAGCATCTACTGGTAACACAGGCTCCCGTTCGTAAAACAAATAGTTTGGAAAGACATTCTTCACTGTTGCTTGCTTAGCAAAACGGTAGCATACCAGCACTCACAACAGCTCCATATCTCAATATCTCTTGTCCTGTTCCCAATAAGCCAGCAACCCTCGCTGTAGCGTTTGAATCATGCATTCAGTGAGGACGCCTGACTGCAAATGGTCTCTGCCGTTCAGCCGGTGCATGATTTCGAACTTCAGAGACCATTTGCACTCAAAGGCAAATGAACTCTGCCAACAGCTTCTTTAACGCTCCTTTGAGTTCTAGCGAGAGAGAGCTGTGCACTGATACGCGAAAAGTCCATTGAGTTTAAAGGAGGGTTCAAAGTGTTGATGGCAGAGTTGGATATCATGCACCGGCCGACCTCCAGGTACCATCCACAGTGATGACGACCTCACGGAACGCATGATGCAAACGGTATGCCAAGGGTTGCAGACTGTATGAGAAACAGAACGAGAGAGGTTGAGATTTAGAGCTGTCGTGGATGTTGACGGGCTACCGTTTTGTTAAGAAAGCAAAACGGTAGCTGTCGTGGATGTTGACGGGTAGGTAGCTGTCGTGGATGTTGACGGGCAGGTAGCTGTCGTGGATGTTGACGGGCAGGTAGCTGTCGTGGATGTTGACGGGCAGGTAGCTGTCGTGGATGTTGACGGGCAGGTAGCTGTCGTGGATGTTGACGGGCAGGTAGCTGAACTGAACGATCTCTCCTGGTAGCTGTGCTACCAGCAAATCTACCTGCCCCAGTAGCCCATGTACTACCAGGGGAGCACAGTGCCAGTCCACACACCCACACGCACCTGCACGTCCGCCCTAATAGTTGCTCTGATATTGGGCAGCATGAGCACCGAGTCAAACACGTCCATGAGCTGCGTTGCCAGCAGCTACAAACGCACCTACCCCAGTACCAAGTACAAGGGAGCACAGTCACAAGCCCACGTACACACGCATACCTGCACGTCCACCCTGATAGCTGCTCTGATATTGGGCAGCATGAGCACTGAGTCAAACACATCCATTGTCGGAGTTACCCTTTTCCGCTTCTCCTTGGTCCCTTACCCCCTTGTGTCTTCTCTGTCTTCTGTCCTCACCCGCCTGTCTTCCTTCTAGCCCTGCCTTCCCACACCTTGTATAGTCTGTGCTTCCTCAGCCACTTCCATGAGAGTTCAAGGCTCCCACAGGATGGCTACCAGGAGTGGCTTAGTCACCTAGCTGCAATAGCTTGAGTATGGTAACCGACATCCACTATGATAGGTAAACAAGTCGAGAGAACAAGATTGCTTTGCTAGGCTAGGCTACTTGTGCCTGGCTACCCAGTCGCACAATTCTCTGCCTGATGGGTTGAGCCCGAGCCGCCTGGGCCTTGGATTGGCCCTCGCCAGATTTCCTGTCTCCCAATGTCCCTGGAATTGCACCCGCAGCGCCCTGCAACCCCCAATGCTACCAACCCTTCGCTTCTCCAATACCCAACTACCTCCCTTATAGGTTGAATATCAATTGCTACAGCACTTCTACACCTCAATTAGCGTATGTCCAGAATATGATGCACTTACCATTAGATTCGGTGACAAAACTCAAAACGAGACGTCTCAAAACTCAAAACGAGACGTCTCAAAACTCGAAACGAGACGTCTCAAAACTCGAAACGAGACGTCTCAAAACTCGAAACGAGACGTCTCAAAACTCGAAACGAGACGTCTCAAAACTCGAAACAAGACGTCTCAAAACTCGAAACGATATGTCTCAAAACTCGAAACGAGACGTCTCAAAACTCAAAGCGAGACGTCTCAAAACTCAAAGGGAGACGTCTCAAAACTCAAAGCGAGACGTCTCAAAACTCCAAACGAGACGTCTCAAAACTCCAAACGAGACGTCTCAAAACTCGAAACGAGACGTCTCAAAACTCGAAACGAGACGTCTCAAAACTCGAAACGAGACGTCTCAAAACTCGAAACGAGACGTCTCAAAACTCGAAACGAGACGTCTCAAAACTCGAAACGAGACGTCTCAAAACTCGAAACGAGACGTCTCAAAACTCGAAGCGAGACGTCTCAAAACTCGAAGCGAGACGTCTCAAAACTCAAAGCGAGACGTCTCAAAACTCAAAACGAGACGTCTCAAAACTGAAAACGAGACAACTCAAAACTCAAAACTAGACGTCTCAAAACTCAAAACGAGACGTCTCAAAACTCAAAACGAGACGTCTCGAAACTCAAAACGAGACGTCTCGAAACTCAAAACGAGACGTCTCGAAACTCAAAACGAGACGTCTCGAAACTCAAAACGAGACGTCTCAAAACTCAAAGCGAGACGTCTCAAAACTCAAAGGGAGACGTCTCAAAACTCAAAGCGAGACGTCTCAAAACTCCAAACGAGACGTCTCAAAACTCGAAACGAGACGTCTCAAAACTCGAAACGAGACGTCTCAAAACTCGAAACGAGACGTCTCAAAACTCGAAACGAGACGTCTCAAAACTCGAAACGAGACGTCTCAAAACTCGAAACGAGACGTCTCAAAACTCGAAACGAGACGTCTCAAAACTCGAAGCGAGACGTCTCAAAACTCGAAGCGAGACGTCTCAAAACTCAAAGCGAGACGTCTCAAAACTCAAAACGAGACGTCTCAAAACTGAAAACGAGACGTCTCAAAACTGAAAACTAGACGTCTCAAAACTCAAAACGAGACGTCTCAAAACTCAAAACGAGACGTCTCGAAACTCAAAACGAGACGTCTCGAAACTCAAAACGAGACGTCTCGAAACTCAAAACGAGACGTCTCGAAACTCAAAACGAGACGTCTCAAAACTCAAAACGAGACGTCTCAAAACTCAAAACGAGACGTCTCAAAACTCGAAACGAGACGTCTCAAAACTCGAAACGAGACGTCTCAAAACTCGAAACGAGACGTCTCAAAACTCGAAACGAGACCTCTCAAAACTCAAAACGAGACGTCTCAAAACTCAAAACGAGACGTCTCAAAACTCAAAACGAGACGTCTCAAAACTCAGAACGAGACGCCTCAAAACTCAGAACGAGACATCTCAAAACTCAGAACGAGACGTCTCAAAACTCAAAACGAGACGTCTCAAAACTCAAAGCGAGACGTCTCAAAACTCAACGTGAGGCGTCTCAAAACTCAAAACGAGACGTCTCAAAACTCAAAACGAGACGTCTCAAAACTCAAAACGAGACGTCTCAATACTCAAAACGAGGCGTCTCAAAACTCAAAGCGAGACGTCTCAAAACTCAAAACGAGACGTCTCAAAACTCAAAACGAGACGTCTCAAAACTCGAAGATCCTGCAAGGAGAATGGTGGGTTTACATCTTGGATGAATACATTTTGGAATATCATATGATAGCTCGTGTGTGTTAATGCTCAAGGCCCAAATTGCACAAGATTAGTAATATTGTGCAAGGTTAGGTGCTAGGGGTGGGGTTGGTGAATGCAAAGTCCTGGGGGCACCGTGTGTTTGGGGACCGAGAGTCCCAAATTGCAGAGTTGAGAATCTTGCTCTGGAACCAATCAAATTCCTTCGAAACCTGCTGCAACCAATCAGATCGCTTCTAAACTTTCAGTAACCAATCAGATTGCATCACACGAAGAGACAGCAAAAAAAACGCGAAGTGTGTAAGAATAGTAATCTTGCCCCGCGCGCTTCGCAATTTGGGCCGTGAGCTTTAAATGGTATGAATTGGATAAATCCTAATTGTTTCCGTTTATATGTATATATATACATGTATATAACCGCATCGTAAAGCGTGTACGCATCGTATGCTTGAACTTGGTAACAACATTCTGGACACTATCCACGTCTGTGCAGCACTCACTTCTCCTTGTGCAGCCTCAGGTCCGTCAGAGCGTCCTTGATCTTCTGACCTGCCTGTTGGTTGGTGGCGGAGGGAAGCAAAGGAGCAACGGGAGTGGGCGTGAGAGAGGCACATGGCGGATTATGGTTATGGGCACATCACATGGTTATGGGTGGCACATTTGTATAGTTCATTCTCTTAGTGCAGCCTGAGAACCGTCAATGCACTCTTGAGATTCCGACCTGTCTCATCCCCCGACCTGTCTACTTCCCACCTGTCCGTCCTTGAGCATGGCCGCATTGACCACCTTTGCGCCTCGAAAGGTCACTACCACCCTCTCTCTCCCTGCATCCGCATCCCCATAAAGAGCCCCAATCCCCTCACTTCACTTGCTCTATTCCCACCTGTCCATCCTTGAGCATGGCCGCATTGACCACTTCAGTGCCTCGAAAGTCCATTACCCCACCAGTCCCTTCCCATCCAGAAAATTTCACTTCTCACCACTCCCTTCCCCTGGCACAAGTCTCACCAGTCTCACTTCTCTTCGCATCTCACCTGTCCATCCTTGAGCATGGCCGCGTTGACCACCTCAGTGCCTCGGGACGACACCACCAGCCTCTTCCTCCTCGGGTCCTTATCCCTCCACACGCCCACCTGCACACCATAAGAAAAACTCCCCACACATGATTTCCGAGGGGCAGCCGCACGCAATAAGAAAACCACAGCGAAACAACAGTGAAGTGAGTGACAGAACGAATAATCTTGCATCCAAATAGGTGGTCTAGCAATGCCTGAAACCGCGACCCAAAACGCAACTCAAATCGCGGCCCATAAAGCGAGTGAAATCGTGACTCATAACTTACCATAAAACTCACTCATCTGCGTATCCGACTTTCCGCTGTGCTGACGCACCTTTTGAGGCGTCTAAACATATGCCTCCACATATTCCTCAAAAAGCGACTCAAAAGCCCACCCACCTGTGTGTCAGACTCGCCACTGCTCAGAACACACACGCACTCAAACACGAACCAAAACGTGACTCAAATGGTCACTCGAAACGAGCCTTACAAGACGATTCAAAGCCCACCCACCCACATGCGTGTCTGACTCGCCACTGCTCAGGAAGCACTCAAATGCCGACTTGAAAAACTCCGTCTGCCCGCCCGCAGCTGCCCGGGAAAGTGGATAGCCTAAGGGTTCATTCTGGGCTCTGGGCAAACTTCTGGTCAGCCGTGCGTGCTTGTGGGCCTAAATCGCAACTATTTCTCACAATGTGTGCTAATTCCCAGGTTGAGAAGCAATGTTGACCAGAAGTCTAACCAGAGCCCGGAATGTCCCCTAACACTCCCCCAAGTCTTCCTAACACACCCTCCCTCACCCCCACCTTTGATCAGGTCGGTGAGAGCAATGGTGGCCGTGCCAACCACACAATCATCCTCGTCGGAATCTTTATCGTCATCCTTGCTGTGAAAGGTGATCTGTTGGCAGGGCGGTGAGGAGAGGAGACAGAGCGGGAGACAGGAGGGTTTCAGGTATTCCCTACCAGCCTGCCATTGGGTTTTGAGTCGACTCAAAACTAGAGCGGGAGACAGGAGGGTTTCAGGTATTCAATACCAGCATGCCATTTGGTTTTGAGTCGACTCAAAACTAGAGTAGGAGACAGGAGGGTTTCAGGTATTCCCTACCAGCCTGCCATTGGGTTTTGAGTCGACTCAAAACTAGAGCAGGAGACAAGAGGGTTTCAAGTATTCCCTACCAGCCTGCCATTGGGTTTTGAGTCGACTCAAAACTAGAGCGGGAGACAGGAGGGCTTCAGACATTCCCTGCCAGCTCTGCATGCCTTTAGTGAGCCATTGACCTGGTGGTGAGGAGAGCAATTGCGAGCAGATTTCTCCCATCGCATGTATAGGCATTAACAGGAGTTCTCAACGTTATATCTCTTAGAAATAAGAAAATTAACTGGGACCACCACCAGGGACCAACAGAGCACCACCTCCTGGGTCCAACAGAGCACCACCTGGGGCCACCAGAGCACCACCCGGGGCCAACAGAGGATTACCGAATCACCTGAGAGAGCACATACCCACCTGCAGGAAGGTGTCAGATGCAGCACGCGGCACCAGCAGCTGCAGTTGCTCGGACCGTGATGTATTCTTTGGGCTGAGAGATAATTGCCTGAAGGTGGGTGTCAAACGCTGCAGGACGAGGATTGAGACGTCGCAATAGTCACCTGACGGAAGGTGTCGAATGCAGCAGCACACGGCACCAGGTGTATTTTGAGGCGCCTCAAAAGACGTCGCAATACCCACCTGCAGGAAGGTGTCGGATGCAGCAGCACGCAGCACCAGCAGCTGCAGTTGCTCGGGCCACGATGGTTTCTTTTGGCTGAGCAGAGAAGCAGGGAGGTGGGGAGGCGGTGAGCATATGAAGCGTGTACACGTGGCATTCGCATGTGACGTAAGCATAATGGGAGGATGAATGATGAATGTGATGTGAGGAAGAAAGCAAGGATGTGTGTGATTGTGAGGATGATGAATGCGAGGATGTGTGTGATGTGAGGAAAAACGCGGGGATGCATCCTGTATTTGAGCATGCGGGCATGAATGGCAAGCAAAGAACCCAGCTCACTCTTGGGCCTTCACGGTGGTGTGAGCGACACCATTCGTAAAGCCACGTGTAATGAGTGTATTTTTGAGACGTCTCAAAAATACCCTCATTACATGTGACCCCAACCCCAGCTCACTCTTGGGCCTTCACGGTGGTGTGAGCGACACCATTCCACGTGGCTGCCTTCCCTGCTGACGTCACCAACGCCAGCTCAGCATGAAGAGCCTTGATGTTCCCCTGGAAGGTAGAGGATGGGGTGAGAGAGGGGTAGAGTGAATTGAATGAGAAGGGGCGGGTCAATGATCGAGTGAACGAGTGAGTGAGTGAGTGGGTGAGAGAGTGAGTGAGTGAGTGAGTGAGTGGGTGAGTGAGAGAGTGAGTGAGTGAGTGAGTGAGTGAGTGGGTGAGAGAGTGATGAGTTAAGGAGAGGAGAGAGCATAGGTGGGTGAGTGGTTTACTTTACGGTGACATGCAGTCGTCACACAGAGAACAGCCTCTGGAAGGACTCGAGGGCCAAGGGGGCGGTGGTGAAGAGAGGTGGATGGGGTGAAGAGAGGTCAAGAATGGTGAAGGAAGGTGAATGGGACAAAGCAGTGAGGAAGCGAGCTGCCATACTGTGGCTGTAATCGCGCGCATGGAGAGCTGCCCCTGAAAGAGCTCGTGGGCGAAGGGCGTGGAGGTGAAGAGAGCCGAGCACTGCCGCCCGTCCTCATCCGATAGTTTATCGCTTCCCTGTAATGTAAGGTATGGGGGGGAATAAGAGTGGGGGTTCTTTCAGGGGCAATGAGGGCAATGAGGGCAATGAGGGCAATGAGGGCAATGAGGGCAATGAGGGCAATGAAGAACAGTGTAGCACTTCAGCCCATCCTCGCCCAACTGTAATCGCTTCCCTAGACTGGGAAAAGCGAAAAGAGGGATTGGAGGATGAAAAGAGGAGATGGTGGGAGAATAGGTAAGGCAGGGGAAAAACGGTCACATTTCAACCTCCCTGCCATCCTCCCACCAACCTCCCTTCCTGACTCAACCCTCCCCGCTTTCCCCCATTCCGTCCTCTCCTTCCGTCATTTCAGCTTCCTCCCGATCGCGTGTGGCTTACAGTGGGAGTCGAGTACGCCTCAAACGCGAATCCGCCCAGCAGCACAGCCAGCCAGCCGTAGGCTGAACGGGCACGCCTGCTTGCATGAAAGTTGCCGGATGATTGCATCCAATCCCGTAGTACGCGTCGACTTACAGTAGGAATCGAGTTTTGAGACGTCTCAAAGCCAGCCAGCCGAAGGCTGAACGGGCACGCCTGCTTGCATGAAAGTTGCCGGATGATTGCATCCAATCCCGTAGTACGCGTCGACTTACAGTAGGAGTCGAGTGCGCCTCATTTTCCGCACTGATTGTGTCCGGGGCATCCAATCCCGTAACCGTCTTACTGTGGGAGTCGAGTACGCTTCAAACGCGGAGGATTGTTGTACAGGACGCATGCCCTCATTAGATTGTTGTGCATCCAATCCCCTTGTTCGCCCCCCCGCTTACAGTGGGAGTCGAGTACGCCTCAAACGCGAATCCGCCCAGCAGCACGGCCAGCCGCAGGTCGAACGGCATGCCTTGCGCCGCGATTCCCGCCGACACTCCCATTGCGACTCCTGCCGCAGCGACCTCCCCTTTCCGCGCCGGCGGGACCTTCTCCGCCGCCGCCACCGCCGCCGCCGCCGCTGCCGCCGCCGACTTAGACGACCCGAAAATCGTCAGCGCGTCCTTAAGCACCGACGCGCCGCGATCGGCGCCGCTTGTCCCGCTGCTGCTGCTGGCGGAGGCGGAGGGGCCGCGGAGCGGAGTCGGGATTGGCGGGCGGCGGCTTCCGCGCGCCGCCGCGGACGTCGGCGCGGCGGAGAGGCGAAGGCCACCATAGGAGGAAGTTAGGCTGCGAAGGGGGGAAGGACGCGTGGTTGTGAAATTCTAATAGGAAGATGGAACAATTCGAGTTGAGTGGATCGGTAGTAGGCAAATTTGCAGGGAAGCCAGGGATGTCTGACATCACTTGTGAGAATTCTCAAAAGTGATTTCAACAGTTCGATTTGAGTGGATCACGAGGAAAATATACAGTGGAAGCGGAACTGGGGAAGCCAGGGCGATGTTTTCACAGGAAGGTCACGGGTGGCTTGGACGAGAACTGCTGGTGATATTCTCAGGAATACGCAACGCAATTCTGAGACTGGCGAAAACTGAAGGCAAGCTCTCATGGCATAAGCCTCTTTATTGAAACACGTGATAGGAGTGAGACGACTTGCTTGAACCTACGGAGACTAAATCACGCACTGCGAACACCCTATTGCTGCATGCCGCAACCACGAACGGATGCCAGTTCGGTCGTGCTCAAACATTTCGGCCTACTTCTAGTAAAGCAAGCCTTCCTCATTGGCAGCAAGGTCACACGGCCCGTGAAACGTTCTTGGCAGGGAGGTATCAGCCTTAGTAGGCTTGAGTAGGTTGAGTAACGGGTACAAGATGCTCTCTGGAATTCTCTGGAAATTACAATATGACTTCAACAAATTTCACACACAATTTTATAGGATGCATTCACAAATCGAGTCGCACTACCAAGTCGCGACACTCTGAATTTTTTATTGGTAACTATACCCCTTGAAATGAACCTTGCCGTGAAATTCAGAGATTGATTGCGATGCGGGATTGGTCGACGAGTTGATTACAAGGCTGTAACTTCGTCGGTGTGGTTGGCGAAGTCGGCGAGGGGTCGGAACTTCGGTGTTCTGCGTTTCGTTATTTTCGTGCGTGGGATTGACTTGGGCTGCGCGTCAGGATCTGGTCGCCCAGCTGCAGGTTGAGGCGTTTGACCAATACGAACAGTTGGTGAGGTGGCGCTTGACTTCCGCCCACCTGCACTGTACTTGGCAGGGCCTCAGATGTCAGGAATTTTACCCTGAATTCCTGAAGTTTGACCCCCGTTTTTTATCATGACCCTGATGCATCAGCCTTTTTTTTTCAACGACCCTGATGTTTCAGTGTTTTTAAATTTCGAACTCTGATTTTCCAGTGTTTTGTGTTTGAGGACACTGACGAGTCAGTGTTGTATCGGGGTCTACCCTGAAACCGAAAACTCCTTGTTTTGGCGCGCCGTCACTGTGCACCGTGCACCAAGGGGATTTCTGGCGAAACATGCTCTGACAGGGCGAATCTCTTGTGTGAGGGGCGAATCTGCTGCTGTGTCAGGGCAAATCTGCTGTGATTGGGCGAATTTGCTGTGCTGCGACAGCGCGTAACGACTGTGCGAGGTCGAATTTGCCGTCAGGGCGAATCTGCTGTGACGAACCAAGTCCGAATCATCAGTCAAGTACACAACCAGAGATCAGAAACAATTCTTAACAATTGTCCTATTCGATTGGTCAGACAAGATTTCTGACCAATCAGACACGGAAATAGCAGAATCCTGGCCGAATTTGGGAATTGTAAAGTGACCAGTCTGATTCGCTGTGTTATGACAGCATACCAGTAAAGCAACTATGCTGATCAGTGTTGAAGTTGTAGAAACCCTGATTGATCAGCGTTTTATTTCTATCAACCCTGATTTTCCAGTGGTTTCACACTAGACGACACTGAAAATCAGTGTTACCCTCCTAGGGACACTGAGTGCTCAGGGTACACAAAAACCAATCTGAGGCCCTGGTACTTGGCAGCACTCGGCTGCCACACTGTTACAGCCCGTCATCGACGCGCGACCTGCATCGAGCGATCACAGAACCTGTTCGGCTGATAGTGGAGGATTGTATTACCTTGAGAGAGATAGATTGTATCGGGGATGGCGATCCAGTGGGGCCCTAAGAGCAGCAAGGGGAGCGAGCGACGCGGAGGCAGCATAGAGCGACGCCATGGCGCGAAAGCTGTCTGTCAGACGCGACGATATCCAGCGAGTGAATGAAAGTGCAAACCCTTTGTTCCAAAAAGTGCGTCTGACAGAAATGTGGATTGAGCTTCCAAATCCTGATCTCGCTCACTCTGAGCTTGAGTAATGGATTACGGACGACTTATGAGACACCTTAAAACTCGCTCACACTGAGCTTTGAGTAATGGATTATGGAAGCGGAACCAGTTTGTCGCAGTGACACTACGAGGACTGGGGAAAGGGGGACGTTTATTGGCGGATCGAGCCTTGCCGTGAGTACACGCATTCACTGGAGAGTGCAGCTTCGGATTGCGAAACCATGGTGTGCCGGCTAACGTGGGCAGGGAGAAGGATAAACTTTCCCTTCAACAACGTCCATGTATGGTGGCTGCTGCCGACCGCGAGGTCTCTATTGCGAGGCGTAACGACAAAATATATTCTAATAGTTTGTCCTTGTGGATGCTTGCTTGTTAGTTACTGTACAGCCAAACTGGATGCCTTGTTGGCGACTGACTCTGCCACTGCCAACGCCAAATACTGTATCTGCGATATGAAAACGGCTGCTGAATTGGCCGCTGATTTGGCTGCTGGATGGATGGTGAATGGCTTCTGAATGGTTGCTGAATCTGGAGGAAACGGAAATACGGAAAACTGGCGGGAGCGCGCCTGTTGTGGAATGGTGGAGATTTGGAAGGCGGGGGGGGGGGGAAGTTGAGGGGCGATATCAATTGGCGCAAGTTTTTCAGCTGTTGCTCGGGGGGTGGGGGCGGGGGAAGGGGGAAAGCCTCGCAGAAGATGGCGGAAACCGAGTGGGAAGAATCGAGGGAGACTTTCAACTGGAGGAGATATTTGCTTCCGCCGTTCCCCTCGCGCGCAGCTCGGCTGGGATGGGGGAGTGGGGGGAAGACAGGATGAACCTTTGCGCGCGATGTTTCGAACATGGATTTGCCGCCATAATTCGACGGAATGCACATGAAGGCAGCGTCTGACACACTGACACATGCGAACAGATGCTACTTGAATGATATCCGAAATTAGATAGCGAGGTGATTGTTTAGACCTGGTAAATAACATAACTCGCAATTCGCTTTTACTCTGTCAAATACTGCTGTTTGATTTCTGGCGAATTTTACTGTGCTACACTCCCCGTCCATAATCATGTGGTGACCCAAAACAGCACCCTAAGAGAACAAGCATTCCCTTACTGGCATGACATCGCAGGTGTGGCATGCTATGTGCGCCAAATAACCACACCAAGCTAACCCAGTGGGCATGGGCTACTGCAGAACCCACGAAAACAACACGCTTTCCTTGTCCATAGTAGAATGATAACAACCCAAAATGCAACAAAAATCCCTACATCACTGACATGACATGGCATAACATCGCATAGCATGGCATGCAAAGGCTGTCATGTCATGTCAGGTGATGTGCCATGTCACTGCAGCTGCCCCTTCTTGTTCTGGTTGAAACGCACTTGCTGGCACCATAGGCATGACGATGGGAGAGCAGAGCAATGGGAGAGGCATGGGAGGGGATGATACAAGGATTCCGGAAATACAGTGTGCATGGTCATCCGGATAGTTTTGAGACGTCTCAAAACTATGATACAAGGATTCCGGAAATACAGTGTGCATGGTCATCCGGATAGTTTTGAGACGTCTCAAAACTATGATACAAGGATTCCGGAAATACAGTGTGCATGGTCATCCGGATAGTTTTGAGATGTCTCAAAACTATGATACAAGGATTCCGGAAATACAGTGTGCATGGTCATCCGGATAGTTTTGAGACGTCTCAAAACTATGATACAAGGATTCCGGAAATACAGTGTGCATGGTCATCCGGATAGTTTTGAGACGTCTCAAAACTATGATACAAGGATTCCGGAAATACCGTGTGCATGGTCATCCGGATAGTTTTGAGACGTCTCAAAACTATGATACAAGGATTCCGGAAATACAGTGTGCATGGTCATCCGGATAGTTTTGAGACGTCTCAAAACTATGATACAAGGATTCCGGAAATACAGTGTGCATGGTCATCCGCATAGCATGGCATATCATTGCTGCTGTCTTCTTCTATACAGGTTGAAGCGCACTTGCTGGCAGCACGGCGATGGGAGAGGATGGGGGTAGGAGGGTGATTGGGATGGGATGCTAAGAAACTGCCATGCCATTCCATGGGTGTCATGCCATGTGACATGGCACCTCTTTTACAGGTTAACAGCATTTGTGGCAGTGCAGCACAGGGAGAGGAGCGGGAGGGAGTTGAGATGGGATGATTCTGAGAGTAGAAAGAATATGCATCATGGGGAAGAGGGCATTGGTTGGAGGGATGAGGAGCAACGCAAACATATTCGTACGGAATGGACAGCTGAGGTATGCCATTCATGGGCATGCAACCTGGACACAACACCCACGCATGTAACCCAGACACATGACACATGCATGTAACCCGGACGCACCTCCCATGCATGTGACAAACGAGGGCCAACACTGCCAACGCACATTCAGCAGCGAGAGGAAGTAAGCCACTTGCGAGTGCATGGGGGGCCTTGAGACGTCTCACAGGCCTATTACACTTCAGTACAAGATGCGCTGGTCTCAAATGAACGCGCTCTCAGTGACATTCCCAACCAACGCACAGGGACAGGAAGTAGCCCTCCTGCTTGTGCTTGCAGGGCTTTGAGTTGGGGCATCTCAGAATACTGATCGCACACCTGAGCCACACAGCCCAGCTATCAATGCACCTTGAGCAGTGAGAGCAAGTAGGCCTCCTGCTAGTGATGCAAGGGATTTGAGAGGCCTTGGAAGGCTGATAACACACTCTGACATCAACACCACCACCAACCAACGCACATTGAGCAGCGAGAGGAAGTAGGCCTGCTGCGAGTGCATGCGACTTGTCCAGATGTCTTAAGACTCTAGTCTAGCGACGCACCTTGAGCAGCGAGAGGAAGTAAAACTCCTGCTTGTGCATGCGGTCGCTGGCACCGTCACTGTCAAATGGCAGCTTCTCGCTCTGTGTGGTGAAAGGAGTGCGTTTATATGGGATATGATTGGGAATAAAACAGAAGCGGATATTTAGGCACCCCAAAAATTGAAACGAGTGAGTTTAAAACGGGCACAATTGGCAATGGAATAGAAATTGCTGAAATGATAAAGAAAGGATGAGATCCATTAGAATATTCGAAGGAGAGATGAGCGAGGTAAATGGATAGTGTTGGCTAGAAGGGGAGTGAGGATGTTGATTGACCACTCGTCAATGGAAGGAAAAGGATGTGAGAGTGTTCACGACGAGTCAAAGATTTGACGAGTAAAGGATGGAGGGACTTGATGACAAGCAAAACAATGGATTACAACGGATGTTACCAAAAGGCTAACTGCTTCGATGGTAGTGACTCGCTTCTTAAGGAGGGCATCCTGAGGAACAAGGGGTCAAGGAGGGAGGTGGGGGGTAGGGCAGATGACGCAACACGTTACAAGTTACGTTGTTACGGGGCAAGGGGAGGAGGGCAAGCAAGAAAGCAGACAGTTGGGGGTGGGTGGGATGGGAAGCAGGGGACGAAAGAAGGAGGAGGCGAGGATGTAAAAGTAGATAGTGTTACATATAGTACAGTAGTGAAAGGAGAAGATAAGTACTGTGATGTACTGTATTGTTTCTTCATTTTCTTGTCACTGCATGCCTTGGTGATTTTTCTGAGAATCCGGGCAACAGCACCACCCTCGTGGCCACATGCTTGTAGAGCACGTATGGCATGCGCAGGCGGGCGGGACTATGTCCAAATCGCTGGCATTGCTGCTCACTGCGCTGCGCTCTCACCCGCCAATTCTTCTCGTGACCACGTGCCTGTGAAGGAAGCATGAGCCAACCTTTTCCCACTAGCCATGGCCATATGGACCAACCAACCTTGTCCAGTTTCTGCCTTCTGAGTCGACTCAAAAGTCTTTTGAGTCGACTCAGAAGCATGAGCTAACCTTTTCCCACTAGCCATGGCCATATGGACCAACCAACCTTGTCCAGTTTCTGCCTTCTGAGTCGACTCAAAAGTCTTTTGAGTCGACTCAGAAGCATGAGCTAACCTTTTCCCACTAGCCATGGCCATATGGACCAACCAACCTTGTCCAGTTTCTGCCTTCTGAGTCGACTCAAAAGTCTTTTGAGTCGACTCAGAAGCATGAGCTAACCTGTTCCCACTAGCCATGGCCATATGGACCAACCAACCTTGTCCAGTTTCTGCCTTCTGAGTCGACTCAAAAGTCTTTTGAGTCGACTCAGAAGCATGAGCTAACCTTTTCCCACTAGCCATGGCCATATGGACCAACCAACCTTGTCCAGTTTCTGCGAGTCAGGCTTGAGATCCACCCCCGTGGCCACATGCTTGTAGGACCACGTATGGCACACACGGCATCAACATACTCATACACTCACTGTGCTGCTCACTCCACTCCCATCAACCAACCTTGTCCAGCTTCTGCGAGTCAGGCTGGAGCTCCACCCCCGTGGCCACGTGCTTGTAGGACACGCAGGACACACACGGCACCAACATACTCATACACTCACTGTGCTGCTCACTCCACTCCCATCAACCAACCTTGTCCAGCTTCTGCGAGTCAGGCTGGAGCTCCACCTCCGTGGCCACGTGCTTGTACCAATGGTAAGGCGGGAGCGGCACCGCAAAATAAGGCACGCGCGTCACGATGTCTCGATAGTTGGCAACGCGCCAGCTGTCACCCACCACCTGGTTGGGATGGGTTGGGATGGGTTGGGTTGGGAGGAGGGGATGTTCAAATCGTTGGAGATGTACCAGTTGTCTCCCACGAGCTGGTTGGAATGTTATGGTATGGGTTTGGATGGGTTGGGATGGGTTTGGATGAAACACGTAAGGACGCGGTGAAAGTAGACGATCGATCATCAGTTGCGATCGGTGCGCGGATTAGTTACCCTGTTTACTACTGTGTAACCATGCTACAGTAAGGTTTTTGTCCAATTTTTGTGCACAGCAAGTGAGTGCGACTGATCACTGATCGCTGTAGAACTTTCCGCAGCATCAATGCGCAGATGACGTGCACGAACCGATCACAACAGGCACGATTGATGCGGATGCCTGCGAAGTGCTGAAATTTCGCATAGCGATAACGTAGACGCGCATAATTCTGGAATTTCGCGGAATTTCAAGCTGGTTGCCCTGTTGGTTGCGAATGTCTCAGGTGTAGTTGGGCGAAGGGGGTTTTTCTTAGACAGTGTCACAGGCTAAACCGAAACCTTGATTCTGTAACATCCAACCCATCACGCAGGGGCGATCGTTACAACCGCGTGGGCACATCGTTTCGCCAAACGATCCGCCCGATCGATTCTGCGGATCGATATACACCCGCGATCCTGCGATATTCTCACTTTCACCGCGTCCTAAGGCACACAGGCACGATGTACAAGCGTTGGGTTGGAGACGTATTTGTTGTCTCCCACGATGTGGTTCGGTTGGGTTGGGATGGGTTGGGATGGGTTGGGATGGGTTGGGAGGAGGGGATGAGAGGAAGGGAGAAGGGGAACAGGGGGAGTGGGGGATGCCAAGAGGAGCGACAGAATCGAAGGAACAGGTGTGGTTACCCACCATGATTCTCATTGGAATTCAATAGACATGCATTGATTTCAATCCCCATGTAGCCAAACAGAAAGTTTTTTAGATTTCTTAAAAAACACCGTGCAATCAGGTGAGGGGACAATCAGCACCCATAGACAGAATCCTATGCCCACGTGGCTGGAACCTTGCGAAAATTGACTTGCACTTGCCCTCGGCATTTCACTGCTCTTTCTAAGCATTGTAGTTAAGGACCTACCAACTAAGCGATACACACCTGGTTGAAGCGAGCTGTAAAGGCATAGTTGCCCACGCGAGGCGAGCCGAAGTTGTAGAGAGAGAGAGCGAAACCGTGCTGCCTGTGGTGGTGGTAAGAAGATATTGAAAACAGGAGGACCTGCAGTTTATAGAAAAATGTACATATTTGAGAATGTATACATTTACACTTGTATTAAATATAAGGGCCCTCTCAGTTCGTTTCGTCATCACACATCCACCACTGGCCTTCTCAAATATCACTTTCACCTTCATCCCACTCACTGCTTCAAGTCGGACTGGGCAAGGTCGTATGTGAAGATCGTGGAGAGAGAGTAGGTGGCACAACCACGGTTGCTTGCAGCCTTTCTTTCGTAACCTACTGGCATGTCATTTCAACCTCCACTCACACCGCTCACACCACCCACTTTTTGAGGTCCGACTGGCCGAGGTCGTATGCAAAGAGTGTGGAGAGAGCACCTCCAAGACTGTGGCCCGTGACCATGATGTGATACCTGGGGGGACAAGACAAGAGGGTGGGACGATGGAATGAGGCATGGTGATGGATGGTGGCATGGTGATGGTGGCATGGTGATGACGGCATGGCATGGTGATAAATCATGATGGCATGATGATGGTGGCATGATGATGGTGGCATGATGATGGCATGATGATGGTGGCATGATGATTATGGCATGGTGATGATGGCATTATGATGATCTCATGATGATGGTGGCAAGGTGATGATGGTGGCATGGTGATGATGCTTTCACGGTGATGATGGCATGTCGATGATGGCCTGATGATGGTGATGGCTTGATGCCATTGTTACGAGAGGAAACACATGGGCTATACTGACGGGTTACCCGGAGGCAAGAGGTGCCACGTCAAGTCATGGCTCCTCACTTGGGATCAATCGGGCTCACTTTTCGTTGGAGGAGGAGATGAGTGCTTTGATCAGCGGAATGAGGCGCGGCGTTACGGAGTTGTAGCCGTCCAGAAAGCCGTCGTGCACCTGGGGGACGGGAACAGAGAGGGAGTTTTGAGACGTCTCAAGGCGTCACGGACTTGAAGCCGTCAAGAAAGCTGTCATGCACCTGAGAGATTGGAACAGAGGGGGAGCAATGGGAACAGAGGGGCAACAAGAGAGGTTGCTGAGAGCTTGAGGCGCAGTAGAATGAGGCACAGCAGCGGAATGAGGAGCAGCGGAATAACGCGGCTTCACAGACTTGTAGCCGTCCAGAAAGCCGACATGCGCCTGAGAGGGAGCATTGGAGAGAGGGAGTGGTAGGGGGAGGTACGTGGAGGCTTGGTGGTCTCACAACCACCTAGAGATCTGTCAAGTAACGAAAGTGCTACCAACGTTACAGATACATGCATCAAACTTCCAGTCCTGAGACGACTTGTGAGGCGCCTCAGAGGCAACGGAAGTGACATTTGAGGCGCCTCAGAAGCAACGGAAGCGGGCCAACAGAAACATCGATCCAACTTCCAGTCCTGAGACGACTTGTGAGGCGCCTCAGAGGCAACGGAAGTGACATTTGAGGCGCCTCAGAAGCAACGGAAGCGGGCCAACAGAAACATCGATCCAACTTCCAGTCCTGAGACGACTTGTGAGGCGCCTCAGAGGCAACGGAAGTGACATTTGAGGCGCCTCAGAAGCAACGGAAGCGGGCCAACAGAAACATCGATCCAACTTCCAGTCCTGAGACGACTTGTGAGGCGCCTCAGAGGCAACGGAAGTGACATTTGAGGCGCCTCAGAAGCAACGGAAGCGGGCCAACAGAAACATCGATCCAACTTCCAGTCCTGAGACGACTTGTGAGGCGCCTCAGAGGCAACGGAAGTGACATTTGAGGCGCCTCAGAAGCAACGGAAGCGGGCCAACAGAAACATCGATCCAACTTCCAGTCCTGAGACGACTTGTGAGGCGCCTCAGAGGCAACGGAAGTGACATTTGAGGCGCCTCAAAAGCAACGGAAGCGGGCCAACAGAAACATCGATCCAACTTCCAGTCCTGAGACGACTTGTGAGGCGCCTCAGAGGCAACGGAAGTGACATTTGAGGCGCCTCAAAAGCAACGGAAGCGGGCCAACAGAAACATCGATCCAACTTCCAGTCCTGAGACGACTTGTGAGGCGCCTCAGAGGCAACGGAAGTGACATTTGAGGCGCCTCAGAAGCAACGGAAGCGGGCCAACAGAAACATCGATCCAACTTCCAGTCCTGAGACGACTTGTGAGGCGCCTCAGAGGCAACGGAAGTGACATTTGAGGCGCCTCAGAAGCAACGGAAGCGGGCCAACAGAAACATCGATCCAACTTCCAGTCCTGAGACGACTTGTGAGGCGCCTCAGAGGCAACGGAAGTGACATTTGAGGCGCCTCAGAAGCAACGGAAGCGGGCCAACAGAAACATCGATCCAACTTCCAGTCCTGAGTTTTGTGACGTCTCAAAACTGGGAAGTGCTACCAACGAATACATCTAATCCAATTTCCATGCTCGTAGTGTGCTTCACGTTACCTTAACACCTGCCTTGTTGTCCTCTTCCGTTAGTTCTGAGTCGAACCTGTAGTTGGGGAGAAGGGCGGAGGGAAGGGAGGAGGGAAGGGCGGAGGGAAGGGAGGAGAGTGGTGGGAGAGGATGAAGTGTATAGAGTGAGGGAATGAAGGGAGGAAGGAGATAAAAAGATCAAGATGGGTTGATTGGGATGTTTTCATACACGCATTAGGCTTGTATCACTCGGGCTTGTATGAACATCTGGTTATGTATTTCAGCTCTTACTGATGCGAATAATGAGCATTCCCAAAATAAAATCAAACATTTTTTGGCATTGGCTTGTGAAGCACTCACATGTGCTTGTTTTGAGGCGCCTTAAAACCAGACTCCTCAAATCTAGGCGCCTCAAAACTAGGCGCCTCAAAACTATGTCCTTGTGTGCAGCCTTAGGTAAGGAAGTCGACGAGTCTTTGAACTGAAGAGAGTTTTGTTGGTTCATGGGCAATGGATCTTGGTTGATTGAACACTGTGGTTTACGGAATGGGCTATGACCATGTGCATGCGTGCAGGTGCAGCGCTCACTTGTCGTTGCAGAATGGACAAGAACTAACTTGTGCTTGTGCAGCCTTAGGTAAATCGACGCGTCTTTGAACTTGCGAGTGTTTGAAGGAGCGCTGTGGTTTACGGAGTGGGCTATGACCATGTGCATGTAGGTGCAGCAGCACTCACTAGTCGTTGTGTAGCCCGCATTTCCTTATGGAATAGACTAGTACTCACTTGAGCTTGTGCAGGTGCAGCCCGCAGGGCAATGGACGCGACTATGAACTTCATCGGGTGAGTATCAACTGTGAGATTATGGTGCATGCACGGTTTATGCGCACATGTGCCACTCACTTGTTCTCCCAAAAGCTCAGGTCGGTCCAAACATCCATCCACGAAATCCTAAACTTCTCGAGATCCTGGTGGTGGATGGGTGTGAGAGGGTGCGAGAGGGTGCGAGAGGGTGTGAGAGGGTGTGAGAGGGTGTGAATGGGTGTGAGAGGGTCAGAACATCCATCCACGAAATCTTAAACTTCTGGAGATCCTGGTGGTGGTTGGTGATGGGGAAGAACAGGACCAAGGAGAGAGGGTGTGGGAGAGGGAGTGAGAGAGGGTGTGAGAGAGGGTGTGAGAGAAGGTGTGAGAGAGGGTGTGAGAGAAGGTGTGAGAGCGTTAGGTGGGGAACTAAGGTCATGAGCACGTTTGCAGAAGAACATGCTATTCCTTGTGCAGAAGGACAGTCCATGACTCCATGCACCTTTGAACTTCTGGCCTGCCTGTGTTGGTTGGTGGATGGATGAATGAAGGGACGGAGGAGGGAGCAGAAGGGGAGGAAGGAGAGGAAGGAGAGGAAGCAGAGGAAGGAGAGGAAGGAGAGGAAGAAAGGAAAAGAAAAGGAGAGGAAGGAGAGGAAGGAGAGGAAGGAGAGGAAGGAGAGGAATGAGAGGAAGGAGAGGAAGAAAGGAAAAGAAAAGGAGAGGAAGGAGTGGGCCATTAGTCGCAACGCAAGGCCTGTTGGCGGCCAAAAATGGGAAAGGAGCAAGGAAAGTGGATAGGAAGGAAGGTGGAATTATGAACTTGAATCCTTGATAGTACATATCGCTTGCCAGTTTTGAGACGTCTCAAAACCTTGATAGTACATATCGCTTGCCAGTTTTGAGACGTCTCAAAACCTTGATAGTACATATCGCTTGCCAGTTTTGAGACGTCTCAAAACCTTGATAGTACATATCGCTTGCCAGTTTTGAGACGTCTCAAAACCTTGATAGTACATATCGCTTGCCAGTTTTGAGACGTCTCAAAACCTTGATAGTACATATCGCTTGCCAGTTTTGAGACGTCTCAAAACCTTGATAGTACATATCGCTTGCCAGTTTTGAGACGTCTCAAAACCTGGATAGTACATATCGCTTGCCGGTTTTGAGACGTCTCAAAACCTTGATAGTACATATCGCTTGCCAGTTTTGAGACGTCTCAAAACCTTGATAGTACATATCGCTTGCCGGTTTTGAGACGTCTCAAAACCTTGATAGTACATATCGCTTGCCGGTTTTGAGACGTCTCAAAACCTTGATAGTACATATCGCTTGCCAGTTTTGAGACGTCTCAAAACCTTGATAGTACATATCGCTTGCCGGTTTTGAGATGTCTCAAAACCTTGATAGTACATATCGCTTGCCAGTTTTGAGACGTCTCAAAACCTTGATAGTACATATCGCTTGCCAGTTCCCACCTGTGCATCCTTCAAAGCTTTTGAAAATAGTACATTTTTTTTTCCAGATACCACCTCCACCTGTTCAGTTCCCACATGTCGAATTCCCCATCTCTTCTGTTCACCAGTCCCCCATCTCTTCAGTCCCCACCTCTCCAGTTCCACCTGTCCAGTTCCCACCTGTCCACTTCCCACCTGTCCACTTCCCACCCGTCCACTTCCCACCCGTCCACTTCCCACCTGTCCACTTCCCACCTGTCCACTTCCCACCCGTCCACTTCCCACCCGTCCACTTCCCACCCGTCCACTTCCCACCCGTCCACTTCCCACCTCTCCACTTCCCACCTGTCTACTTCCCACCTGTCCACTTCCCACCTGTCCACTTCCCACCTGTCCATCGTCGAACTAGGTCTCACTTACAAACTCAGTCCCTCGGAATGACACCACTAGCCTCTTCCTCTGCGGGTCCTTGTCCCTCCACACGAACACCTGCACGCCCCGGTCCAAATTGCAGCAAAGCAATCAGCAGTGAAGCAACAGCAAAACACGTTAAACAGACTTGGAAAAACGTGCAATGCCTCCCTACACATGCCTTGGTAGCAGCAGCAGCAGCAATAAAAACAACTGTGGTGAAACAACAGCGACGCAACAGGGAGACGAGAACGACGAGCATTCACGACCACATTTGCACTGAAAGTAACTTGGGAAGTGTTTTTGACCCTGCAGCTTTTGAGAATTGTTTTGAGACGTCTCAAAACTTTTGAGAATTCGAAGAAACGACAAAAAGAATCTACAATTGCATCTGCACTGGAAGTAACTTGGGAGACGGTGGGGGCTTCTGAATGGATGCCTCAAAACGCGACTCAAAACGCGACTCAAAACGCGACTCAAAGCACGACTCAAAACGAGCCTTAAGGCAGCTCAGAAGCCACCCACCTGAGTGTCCGAATTGCCACTGCTCAGGAAACACACGCACTCAAACGCCGACTTCAAGAATTCCTTCTGCTCGCCCGCAGCTGCCCGCGAAAGGTTCTCCCAGGCGGCGAGCTTCACGGCATCAGCTCCGGTGGCAAAAAGATTTTCAACTGCCCGTTGGTCAGGGAGTGAGAGCCCATAGGCTGCTGCTTCGGCCTCAGCTTTCGAGCCTGCCTGGGGTACTGTTGCGGACTTGGGAAGGGAGGTGTCGATAAGCTTCTGGAGGATGGGGAGAGGCTCGAAGCTGGGGTGGGTGGGGAGGGCAGGGAGGCTGGGAGGGGATACAGGAGAGTGGGGGAAACGAATGGGGTGGGTTTGATGCACCTATGGGGCAGAATAGCACGTAAGAGTGAGAGCAAGAGCAGGGAGCCGGTGAAAAGAAGGTCGTGGGAAAAGGGATGCATATGGAGGATGGGGAGAGGCTCGAAACTGGGAGGAGAGAGCAGGGAGGGACGAAGTGATAGGAGTACTGAACTTAGAAGATTCTCTTAAATTTTGTGAGAGGGTCCAAACAGAAGCAACATGAGGAGGACGAAACTACTGCGAGATAAAAAGAATTTTGAGTCGAGTAAAAATAAATAAATGAATCTACTAAAAAACCGGTCCAAACATGAAGCAACACAAGCTCGCATAGTCCACCTACCCCTCCCCTACCCCCCATCCCCCTCACTCTCCCATCCCCTACTCCTCATCCCTCACTCTCCCATCCATCACTCTCCCATCCCTCACTCTCCCATCCATAACTCTCCCATCCCTAACTCTCCCATACATCAATCTCCCATCCCTCACTCTCCCATCCCTCACTCTGCCATCCCTCACTTTCCTATCCCTCACTCTCCCATCTCTCATTCTCCCACCCCTCACTCTCCCATCCCTCAATCTCCCACCCCTCACTCTAACTCTCCCATCCCTCACTCCCACATCCCGCTCCCTCTCTAACGCTCTCTCCCATCCCTCACTCTCTCATCCCTCACTTTCCTATTCCTCACTCTCCCATCCCTCAATCTCCCACCCCTCACTCTAACTCTCCCATCCCTCACTCTCCCATCCCCTACTCCTCATCCCTCACTCTCCCATCCATCACTCTCCCATCCCTCACTCTCCCATCCATCACTCTCCCATCCCTAACTCTCCCATACATCAATCTCCCATCCCTCACTCTCCCAACCCTCACTCTCCCATCCCTACCTTTTCTATCCCTCACTCTCCCATCTCTCAATCTCCCACCCCTCACTCTCCCATCCCTCAATCTCCCACCCCTCACTCTAACTCTCCCATCCCTCACTCCCACATCCCGCTCTCTCTCTAACGCTCTCTAACTCTCGAACGGCCCATCGTATTAATATCACCAAGGTACACACAAGGTAAGGCAACATCTACCATCGCTCTCTCACTCTCTCTCTCTCTCACTCCCCCTACCTCTTGCCAGGATCGGAGAAGCTTGTATAGCGCACCTGCCATAGGGGGAGTGAGCAAGGCAAGCAGTGTTGGGGCTGCTTTTGAGAATCCCTAAAAGCAACTCTGCAATAGGTGCGTGCAAGGCAAGCGACCAAGACACCCGGAGTAGGGCGGGCAGTGGCAGTTGCACAGGGCAATGGGCAGTCATTGCCGCAGAAAGGACAGTCACAGTTACAGATCCACACCACAGGATGTAATAGCTTTATTATCAACGGATAAAACGAATAATCAATACACGAATGTGAGGTTCCAGGGGTCTTAACTCATGGGGAAGAGTAGCAAGGGGACCTCTCGTTCGTGTACAGTCACACAGTTACAGATCCTCATCAGGATGTAAAATGAATAAAACGAATATAACGAATAAAACGAATACAGCGAATAAAACGAATATAACGAACATAACGACTAAAACGAATAAAGCCAATATATCGAATAAAACTCAGCAATGGACAAAACGAATATGGACATGTACAGGTAGGTAGCTCATAGGAGGAGGGCATTCGAGAACAGATTCTTATGTGGGATAGCTTCTAAATTTTATAAATGTGTGTGTGTGTACATGTATATGTGTATATATAAGAATGTATCTCCCACACACACCTACTCCCAGGCCCACACGCTCTCTGCTCTGCTTCCTCGCCCCCACATGCATTCATCCCTCCACACTCTTACCTCCTCCACATCTACATACCTCAGCCCACCTACCCCAACCCCACCTACCTCGAACCCACCTACCCCAGCCACACCTACCTCCATAAAGACACTACTTGTCTCGCTGCCGTTGCGAGTCACCTTACGGCCTATCAACCACTGATGCACCCCGTTAGAACCTACCTACCCCAGACGCACCTCGCTCCGAACCTACCTACCACAGACGCACCTCCCTCCCACACACATACCTCCATGGATAGATACACTGCCTATCTCCCTGCCGTCCTTCCAAACCCACCCACCCACAACCCACCCACCCCAGACACACCTCCCTCCCCCTCACCTACACACACACACACGCATACCTCCATGGATACACTAACTGTCAGCTTGCCGTCGCAATTCACCTTAAAGCGCTGCAACCACTGAAGCACCTCCAAACCTACCGACCCCAGATGCACCTCCCTCACACACACCTACCTCCATGGATACAGTAACTGTCAGCTTGCTGTCGCAAGTCACCTTAAGCCCTTCAAACTCGCGAAACCGGGTGCCTGAACCAGCGCACAGAGAGGGATGGAGAGCGGTGAAGGACGGTTAAGAGTGGTGGAGAGCAGTGGCGAGCAGTGGAGAGCGGTTTAGAGCGATGAGTGGACAAAAGGGATGGTGACAAGTGGAAGCAGGGCAATGGTGGCAGTGCCAAGCCAACCACACAGCCAACTTCATTCACCCGATACACCCTCACCCCCACCTTTGATGAGGTCAGTGAGAGCAATGGTGGCCGTGCCCACCACACAGTCACCGTCCATCATTGGTATCATCGCCCCTTCCTGCCTTCTCTCAATACACAGGCACCCACCTCTGCCTACCACACCCTACTCCTCTTAACACACCCTCACCCCCACCTTTGATCAGGTCAGTGAGAGCAATGGTGGCAGTGCCCACCACACGGTCGTTTCTGTCATCGTCGTCATTGTCAGCATCCCCACCGTGCAAGTTGATCTGTTGATGGGGCGGACGGGCGGTGAGGGGGCAGAGGGAGAGAAAGAAGAGCTGCATAAACTCCCTGCCTGCCTGCCTGACATTGGCATCCCCACCCACATCACCAGTATCACCAGAATCACCAGTATCACCAGAATCACCAATCACCAGTATCCTACTACCAGCAATGTTGCCAGCATGATCGCTACAGTAGTCCTTTCTGTGCAAGGCGATCTGTGGATGGGGCAGTGTGGGGTGGAGAGAGGGGGAGAGACAAGACAGCCTCATAGCATGCACAGAAGCAGCAGAAGGAATAGCTGTCCGTATCACCAGCATTGTTGCCAGCATGATCGCCAGAGTAGCCCTTTCTGTGCAAGGTGATCTGTTGACGGGGCGGTGAGGGGGCAGAGGGAGAGACAGGAGGGAGGGGTGGTGGTGAGGAGGAGGGAGCGAGAGAGACACTGTCACATTCTCCTGCCATTGACCTAACCACCAACATCATCAGAATAAGCAGAATCGTCAAAATCGTCCTTTCTGTGGAAGCTTGGAAGGTGATCTGATGGCCGGGCAGGTGGTGAGGTGACAGAAGGAGAGCTGTCAGCAATTGCCAGCCATTGGAACCAACATCACCAGTGCCACCATCGTCATCAGCAGCAGAATCGCCACAGTCGTCCTTGCTGTGGAAGCCTGGAAGGTGATCTGATGGCCGGGTGGTGTGGTGAGGGGGCAGTGGGCAGCGGGAGAGAAAGACAGGGTGTGGCAGTTGCCATTCGAAACATCCCCAACATCATCACTATCATCAGCAGCATCATTATCAGCAGCATCAAAAGCGGACACCATACCTGTAACAAAGACAAAATTGGGTCCAAGATTAGTTAGAACAGTGTTTTTCCAGCATCAGCGTCATCACCACCATCTCCCTCAGGAGAGGAAGATTCACCTGGGGCCAAAACAGGACCACCTGGGCCCAACAGAGGACCACCTGGGTCCAACAGAGCATCACCTGGGGCCAACAGAGCACCACCTGGGGCCAACAGAGGACCACCTGGGGCCAACAGAGGATTACCGGATCAACTGAGAACTCAACCACTTGAAGATAGCTGTCAGGTGTGGCATAAAAGTGTCGAGCTTCAATACTCACCTGAAGGAAGGTGTCAGATGGAGCAGCAGCACAAGGCACCAGCAGCTGCAGTTGCTCCGGCCATGATGGATTCTTCAGGCTGAGAGGAGGGAGGTGGGGAGATGAGGAGTGGGGGAGGAAGGGGAAAGGAAAGGAAGGATTGGTGAAAGAGCGGGATGAATTGGGTAAAACTGGCTGACGAGGCACCAGCAGCAGCAGTTGCTGGGGCAGGATGGGTTCTTCGGGCTGAGAGGAGAGGCAGGGGAGGAGGCGGGGAGGAGGGGGGGGAGGGGAGGAGGGGGAGCCAGGTCGGCGGGGATTGGTGGTAGAGAGAAATTAATAGAGTAAATTCGGCTGACGAGGCACCAGCAGCTGCAGTTGCTGACCCCATGGTGGGTTCTTTGGGCTGAGATGGAGAAGCAGGGAGGTGGGAGGAGGGGAGCCGGGTAGGTGGTGAGGGGTGGAAGAGAGGAATCAACTGGGTGAGTTGGTTAACGAGGCACCAGCAGGTGCAGTTTCTGGCCCCGTGATGGGTTCTTTCTTTGGGCTGAGGAGGAGAAGCAGGGAGGTGGGGAGGCAGGCGGTGAGCAATGTGGGCATGTGACATTGGCATGTGATGTAAGCATGAATGTGAGGGCGAATGTGAGGGCGAATGTGAGGATGAGTGTGAGCATGCGATGAGTCCAGCGAGTATGCCAGGGTAGCACTGGAGCCGAGCCGGTTCAAACTGGAGCCATCATGCTGAGGGTGACGGAATGTGAGAATGAAGGTGAGAATGCGATGTGAGACTGCGATGTGAGAATGCGATGTGAAAATGTGATGTGAGAATGGATGTAAGAATGGATGTGAGAATGCGATGTGAGACTGCGATGTGAGAATGCGATGCCAGTATGGCAGGTCAGCACAGGCGCCAGCTCACTCTTTAGCCGTGTTGCTGCAGGCGACGCCATTCCACGTGGCTGCCTTCCCTGCTGACGTCACCAGTGCCAGCTCAGCATGCCGAGCCATGAGTTTTCCCTGAGGTATAGAGGACAGGGTGAGAGGGGATCAGGATGGAGTATAGCTGCTTGTAAGTTGTATGAGTGAGTGAGTGAGTGAGTGAATGGAAGGGAGAGATCATGAAAGTGAGTGAGTGAGTGAATGAGAGGTTGAATGAGTGAGAGAATGAAAGTGAGTGATTGAGAAAGTGGCTGAGTGAGTGAATGAGAGTGAGTGATGAGAAAGTGAGTGAATGAGCGAACGAGTGAAATGCACGGAGAACAACACGAATACAAACAGCTAACCACTTTTGAGAAATCATAAAGCTGATACAAGCAGTGCTCGCACGAGGCTGCCCTTGAAAGAGCTCGAGGGCCAAACGCGTGGAGGTGAAGAGAGGTGAAAGGGTGAATGAGTGAATGAGTGAATGAGTGAATGAGTGAATGAGTGAATGAGTGAGAAAGGGGTAGAGCAGGTGGGAGATTGAGGGAGCGAGGAGGTGCCAGTGTGGCATGACATACCATGGCCTTCAGTCCGCGCACGGAGAGCTGCCCCTGAAAGAGCTCGTGGGCGAAGGGCGTGGAGGTGAAGAGAGCTTCACATGCTTGCCCGTCCTTATCCGAGAGCATATCACTCCCCTGGAGGTGTGGGGAGGATGAGAGTTTGGAAGTTTTTTAGAAGGAAAGATCAGAGCACTAGCGCCCGTCTATGTCTATGGATCGTCAATATTGTGTTATCTAGATCAGCCTTCCCCTCAAACTAGCCTGAGGACGAAGTCACCCTGATGTAACCTCAGGTTGATTTTTTTTAGGAGCCTAAAAAATAACCCCAGGTTGTGAGCCTCCAAGAAGCCTCAAACTAGCCAGCATGTACCCACACCTTCTCCGGAGTCGAGTACGCTTCAAACGCGAATCCGCCCAGCAGCACGGCCAGCCGCAGGTCGAACGGCACATCTTCCGCCGCGATTCCCGCCGCCACTCCCGCCGTGACTCCAGCCGCGGCGGATACCCCTCTCCGCGCCGGGTGGCTCCCCTTCCCCTCCGCCGTCGCCACCTTAGGCGATCCGAAGATCGTCAGCGCGTCCTTAAGCACCGACGCGCCGCCGTCGGCCGAGGCGACGCGATCGGCGCCGGTTGTCCTGCTGCTGCTGGCGGAGGCGGAGGGGCCACGGAGCGGAGTCGCCCTTGGCCAGCGACTGCCGCGCGTCACCGCGGACCTCGGCGCGGCGGAGAGGCGGAAGCCGCCATAAGAGGAAGTCAAGCTGCATCTAGGGATCCGTCCGACGGAATATTGAGAGATTATTTTAACGAGCCGTTTTACTAAAGGTGGAACATTCCGAGTTGAGAACTTGGCAAATTTGCAGAGCGGAAAGCGGAATACGGAGAGCCATTATGGTTGGAAGGTAATCGGCAGTTTTGTACGATTGAGGCGCCTCAGAAGTGGCGATTTGAGTGAAACAAAGACAGGAATGTGGCTCGATAAGGTAAGAGGACTGACAGACGAAGTATTTGAACCTCCAAATCAGGCACTGACAAACATACAAGCATTTGAACCGCTGCGTTCCTCAGCGGCAGCAATGTCACAGGCTCGTTGATAGCAAGTTAGCTGAAATGTTAGCTGAAATGTTAGCTACAATGTTAGCTACATTGTTGACGCTTTTAGCTGTAAAATGTTGACACGCCACCTGCATCGCTCGGAGCGATGACAATCGGCTGATAGTGGAGGCTTGTGTTACCTTGAAAGATGGCGATCCAGTGGGGCCCTGCCAGCAAGGGGAGAGAGCGACCCGGAGGCAGCATAGAGCGACGCCATGGCGCGAAAGCTGTCTGTCAGACACGAAGATTTTTCAGCGAGAGAGCTAACCCTTCGAGCAAGAGGGTGCTTCTGATCCGAACTGTGGATTGAGCTTCAGTAATGGAAGCGGAACCAGAGTGTTACGGTGCTACGAGGACTTGGCGAACGGGGGGATGATGATCGGCGAATTGATCATCGCCATACGATGCGCAGAGTGTGCAAACTTATGATTGCTGCTCCAACCCAAAGTGGGCCATTGCATTGCTGCCGCCTAATCCGAGCAGAGACGATGAACTTCCCCCTCAACAACGTCCAGCCATGCATGGTGGCTGCTGCTGACCAGGGAGGTGTCTACTTGCGATGCGTAGCGACAGAAGGGTCCCTAATAGATTGTCCAGGAGCGGAGGAATGCCAGCCGCGTGAAGGCATCATATCGCCACTTGTTAGCTACAGCCAAAAACAGATGATCTGTTGGCGACTGCCGCTCTCAGGGATGCTCAATGTGATATGATTTCTGGAGTTTGTTTGAAGATGGGTGGGAACGGCGTACGCAAAAATCTCCTGATGGGAAAATACTTTGTGGACTAAAAAATAATTTCCTTCGATTGTACACCGCACTATGTGCAGGGAGTAGACTCCGCAGAATGAGGTGTCTGGTTACGAGGCATCAATCATCGAAGAATGCCATATCCATCGGCATCTTACAGTTGACAATGTACTGTAGATCGGCCAGGCCAGGAGCAGAGGAAAGCCGGCTGTGTGGATGCATCGCATCGCCACTTGTTTAGCGTAAATTCTGCCGATCGAGGTCCTTAGTAGAGGCATCGACAAAATAATGCCTAATAAGTCGGCCAGGAGTGCAGGAAAACCGGCCATGCGGATGCATGTATCACCACTTGTTAGTCCAGCCACAAAAGGATGCTCTCTTGGCGAGGCGACTGCTACGGCAAGTGTCGGAAGCAGCGTTCTGAAAATTGGATTCACCTGAATGAACGATAAAATGGCCGCTGAACTAGCTGCTGAATGGGTGGTGTGAGTGGGTGCTTCTGAAAGGTGGCTGAATCTGGAGGAAACGCAAATGCGGAAAAATGGCTAGGCGCGCCTGCTGCGGAATGGCGGATAGAGGGAAGGAGGAATGAATGGTGAGGGTGTGGTTGGGACGAAAAAATCTTATCGCAGTTGGTGAAGGGGGGAGGATGGGGAAAGGAGGGAGGGTGGAGGAGCGAGGATGAGATAAGATGGGATGAGGGTTATGCGCGCGCTGTTTCAAACCTGGATTTTGCCGCCACAGCTCAAAATGTACGAAGGGCTGTCTCACAGACTGACACTTGCGGAATTGATTGTACTAGTTATTGGGAGATTCAACATTGATATATAGAACGCGTTTGTTAACAACTGTTCAATCACAGTAGCTGGCAAATGATACATGCATAGATGTCATCAAACGCAGACAATGGATGTACCTTTGCATGCACACAATGGCGGCGATTTATTTCATAGGCAGCTAGCACAAATAGCAGGCCGAAATAGGAGGGAGAGCTAGAGGGGTTGAAACCAGCACCCCACACCCCTACCCCCACACCACAACCACCTCCACCCACCCCCATCCCCTTCTCTACCTCCCACCATCAACACCCCTACCCCTGCTCCTGCAATGTTACCATCACCAATACGTGTAACATCCACCAGACATGTATCTTGGGATGATACAAATCTCCTAGCTATATGTTGGCTCCACCAATGGTATCATCCATAAGCTCTTCGCAGTACTGCCTTGTGACATCTGGCACATTGGAGGATGGAGGGAAGCGGCGGAGAATTGAGGTACCGGTATGAGTGGATCTACTAAACAATGAGAAAGCATGCGGCAGCTACAAATCATCAGCTCGTTGCAGCACTGCGTTGTGAACAAATGGCACGCAGCAGTTCAGGAAAGAAACGACCCAACGACAATAGAAAAGCATGAGTGACCCCAGAGAGAGAGAAAAAAGAGCTATATGCAATAGGCAAGCTTAGCAAGCAGTGTTGAACAGCCCAATGCCCAGAATAGCTCCTGTACGCATCCATCCACTTGGGCAAGATTGAATAAGACAATTCAAGAATCCAGATGGTGAGGATTGGATAGAGTGGATGCATGCCAATGCAGCCCCATCACGGTGCCCATCACGGCACTCACCGTGATGCACCGCACATCACTGCGTAGAAGAGCACCACACCTCACAGCACTCACCGTGTTGCATGGTCAATGCAGGCTTGGGTTCCGAGAGTGTTCCAACCACCTTGGCTGGTGTGCCTGCCACCATGCTGTGAGGGGGAGCATGGGTGGGGAATAAAGGGTGGGGGAAGAGGGGAGTGGCAGTACTGAGTTTTGAGACTGTACACAATTGGGTTAAAAAAGAGTGCCCACAACTTAAGATGGCGTGCCTGCGACCAGAGTGTGAGCAATAGGAGGAACACGGGTAGGGGAAGAGGAGTGCCCACAACTTAGGCTGGCGTGCCTGCCACCATACTGAGAAAGACAATGACGAAAAAAAGGTGTGCTTGTTTAGCCAAGTCATTCAGTCAGCAGCGATCATGGAGCCCTGCCCGATGCTTGTTGCCCTGAGCTATGGTGCTGGAAGGACCTGTCTGTACCTGTAGAGAGTATACCTGGGGCTATGGGGCGGCACGTCCTTCAGAACGAGCGACCCAGCAGCGATCATGGAGCCCTGCCCGGTGCTGATGTTGATGTTGCCCAACACGGTGCTATTGAGCTGAGGCATACCCGCTATACAAGGCATACCCGCTATACAAGGCATACCCGCTATACAAGCCATACCTGTGAGGAAGGGACGAGTCGAGGCACCGCAGCGACAAGCATACCTGTGCGGCGGCACGTCTTTGAGAACCAGCGACCCAGCAGCAATCATGGAGCCCTGTCCGATGCTGATGTTGCCCAGCACGGTTGCCCCCGCCCCGATCAGCACGTCCTCCTGGACTTTAGGGTGCCTGTCACCCGCCTCCTTGCCTGTGCCTCCTAGGGTGACGCCCTGGCAAATCACAGGGAAGGAGAGGGTGGGTGGTGCAGGGAGAATGAGTATGAGGATGAGCGTGGTCGCCCCCACCCCGATCAGCACATCCTCCTGGACTTAAGGGTGCCTGTCACCCGCCTCCTTGCCCGTGCCACCCAGAGTCACTCCCTGCAGGAAGGCAAGGCGAGAGGAGTGGATAAAGGGGGTTACTACATTCGCCCCCGCCCCAGCAGCAGATCCTCCTGGACGTTAGGGTGCCTGTCGCCCGCTTCCTTCCCTGTGCCTCCCAAGGTCACGCCCAGGGGGGAAGGCAGGGTGAGAGGGATGGATGGAGGAGGAAGGGAGGATGAGTGATGTTGCCCAGCACAGTCGCCCCCGTCCCAAATAGCACGTCCTCCTGGACTTAAGGGTGCCTGTCACCCGCCTCTTTCCCTGTTCCTCCAAGGGCCACTCCCTGAGAATTCAGGGCGAGAGGGGTGGATGGAGGAGGAGGGACGGGAACAATCATTATGCACGGTCGCCCCCACCCCAATCAGCACATCCTCCTGCACCTTGGAATGCCTCTCACCCGCCTCCTTGCCTATCCCGCCCAGAGTCACGCCCTGGCGGGTTTTGAGTCGACTCAAAACTCGACCTTGGAATGCCTCTCACCCGCCTCCTTGCCTATCCCGCCCAGAGTCACGCCCTGGCGGGAGCAGGTCCCAGGGGAAGGAGAGGGAGCGTGGTGCAGGGAGAATGAGCATGAGGATTGTCCAACAGCGATCATGGAGAATGGCTGTACCGCCAAGCACAGCACACACCGCTGAATTTTGAGGCGCCTAAAAGATCACCTCAATGCAAGCTATCATGGAGAATGGCTGTACCGCCAAGCACACACTGCTGCAACACATCCCCTCCTTCTAATCTCCCCCTCCCCCTCATCTCCACAAGAGACACCTATCCCTGACAATCGCTGCCTCCCCAATCACCACACCCGTGCCATGGTCCATGAGAACGCCCCAGCTACTGCTGTCCGCAGTACACTCGCTCTCTCTTCATCCCTCTTCACCACTCTCACCTGCAGCAGAGACACCCTATCCCCCACGATAGCCGTCTCGCCAATTACAACGCCCGTGCCATGGTCCATGAGAATGCCTCGCCCGATGCGGGCGGCTGGATGGATGTCCACCGCAAACACCTGTGGGGATTATGGGGGTGGTGGGATGTGGGGGGAGGAGGGGTGTTAGGGTTGGGAGGGTGTGGGGTGTCATCACATAGACGCCTGTGCCATGGTCAATGAGAATGCCCCTGCCAATGCGGGCGGCTGGATGGATGTCCACTGCAAACACCTGTGGGGATTATGGGGGTGGTGGGATGTGGGGGGAGGAGGGGTGTTAGGGTTGGGAGGGTGTGGGGTGTCATCACATAGACGCCTGTGCCATGGTCCCTGAGAATGCCCCTGCCAATGCGGGCGGCTGGATGGATGTCCACTGCAAACACCTGTGGGGATTATGGGGGTGGTGGGATGTGGGGGGAGGAGGGGTGTTAGGGTTGGGAGGGTGTGGGGTGTCATCACATAGACGCCTGTGCCATGGTCCATGAGAATGCCCCTGCCAATGCGGGCGGCTGGATGGATGTCTACTGCAAACACCTGTGGGGATTATGGGGGTGGTGGGATGTGGGGGGAGGAGGGGTGTTAGGGTTGGGAGGGTGTGGGGTGTCATCACATAGACGCCTGTGCCATGGTCCATGAGAATGCCCCTGCCAATGCGGGCGGCTGGATGGATGTCCACTGCAAACACCTGTGAGGATTATGGGGGTGGTGGGATGTGGGGGGAGGAGGGGTGTTAGGGTTGGGAGGGTGTGGGGTGTCATGACATAGACGCCTGTGCCATGGTCCATGAGAATGCCCCTGCCAATGCGGGCGGCTGAATGGATGTCCACTGCAAACACCTGTGGGGATTATGGGGGTGGTGGGATGTGTGGGGAGGAGGGGTGTTAGGGTTGGGAGGGTGTGGGGTGTCATGACATAGACGCCTGTGCCATGGTCCATGAGAATGCCCCTGCCAATGCGAGCGGCTGGATGGATGTCCACTGCAAGCACTTGTGGGGGAAAGAGGTGTTGGGGTGGGGGAGAGAGGACGGGGAGTGGAAGCACAATGGTGTTGAGACGTCTCGAAAAACGTTTGGAGACGTTTCTAGATCTTCAATTGAAGTTGTTTGTGGCTCCGGTTGGTGGCTGACTGCTGTGCGTGCCACGAAAACTGTAAGATGGGCAAAACCCTACCCACCTCGGAGATGCGGGACTGCAGGGCCAGAGCCAGGATGCGCTGGCCCCGGTTCCACAAGGCGTGGGCGATGCGGTACGACTGGCAATGCTTGAATGGGTGCCAATGCACCTCAGAACCAATACGCACTAACCCGAATCAAAACCCACCTCGGAGATGCGGGACTGCAGGGCCAGAGCCAGGATGCGCTGGCCCCGGTTCCACAAGGCGTGGGCGATGCGGTACGACTGGCAATGCTTGAATGGGTGCCAATGCACCTCAGAACCAATACGCACTAACCCGAATCAAAACCCACCTCGGAGATGCGGGACTGCAGGGCCAGAGCCAGGATGCGCTGGCCCCGGTTCCACAAGGCGTGGGCGATGCGGTACGACTGGCAATGCTTGAATGGGTGCCAATGCACCTCAGAACCAATACGCACTAACCCGAATCAAAACCCACCTCGGAGATGCGGGACTGCAGGGCCAGAGCCAGGATGCGCTGGCCCCGGTTCCACAAGGCATGGGCGATGCGGTACGACTGCAGCGCGTGGTAACCCTGGGGGATTGGTCAGTGGGGGGGGGGGGGGGGGGGGGGGGGGGTGGTTCGGGGGGAAGGGAGGAAGTGAGAGGGGCATGGGAGACAGACAGATGAGCAGAGCCAACGGGGTCAAGGCATGGGCGATGCAGTATGACTGCAGCACGTGGTAACCCTGGAGGATGAGTAGGCCAATCAAACCAAGAGAGCAAACGTTTGTGAGTGAGAGATAGGGGGTGGCTCAGGGAGGGCAGTAAAGGAGGAGGGCACGGAGGAGCAAGGACAGAGGGGGGTGGTGAAAAAATCTCGCCTCAAAAGGGGTGGTGAAAAGAATCTCGCCTCAAAAGGGGTGGTGAAAAGAATCTCGCCTCAAAAGGGGTGGTGAAAAGAATCTCGCCTCAAAAGGGGTGGTGAAAAGAATCTCGCCTCAAAAGGGGTGGTGAAAAGAATCTCGCCTCAAAAGGGGTGGTGAAAAGAATCTCGCCTCAAAAGGGGTGGTGAAAAGAATCTCGCCTCAAAAGGGGTGGTGAAAAGAATCTCGCCTCAAAAGGGGTGGTGAAAAGAATCTCGCCTCAAAAGGGGTGGTGAAAAGAATCTCGCCTCAAAAGGGGTGGTGAAAAGAATCTCGCCATAAACAAAGAAATGACTCTCTTTTTGAAACAGAAAAAAAACTGGTGTCTCCCCTGTTTACCACCGATTTTCACCGTTCCACACCACACCCAGCACCTCCCAGCACCACTCTCATTACCGTGCAGTACCGTGCAGTACCACCACCCACCTTGTAGTAGAGGAGGGCGTTGGAGTGCTGCAAGCACATTGCATCGTACCTCCCAGCACCACTCTCCTGCTCCAACTCTCTCTCAAACGGTCCTTTGTATTAATTCAGCAGGGGTACAAACATGCGGTGCTATCCATGATAACCTCCATCCCTTAAGCCCCAAAACTCACCACTCTTCTCCCCCCCCTGAGTGACCCTCTAGCCCTCCAGCGTGTGGAGGATGTCCCCCAGGTGCAGCGGCCAGGGGTCCGCTGCCATCTGGGGGTGCGCTGCCTCGATCCCAGCCCTGGCCTTGGTGTGCAGGGCATTCGCCTGGGAGCGCTGGAGGGCCACTGACCAGCGCTGGAGGGCCACTGACCAACTCTCTCTCTCTCTCTCTCACCTTGTAGTAAAGGAGTGCGTTGGAGTAGGATCGGCAGGATGGGTCCCGGTCCCGCACAGCCTGGCCAATCAGAGCAGAGCATTGTGCCACGAGGGGCAAAGAATAGACATGGGACAGGACGAAGTGGCATAAATTGAAATGGGATGGGGTGAGATGGGATTGGATGGGATGAAATATGGCATGGGATGAAGCAAAGAAACAGGCATGGCATGGCAGGAATATGGGTTCACATCACACAAAAAAAACTGCACAAGCACCAGTAGCCCATCCACCAGCAAATACCTATCTGCACTCCCTAGTACCGATCTGCATTACTGATTTTAACAATCATGGAGCATATACTGGTCACAAAGGCTCCGGTTTGTAAAACAAATAGTATGGGGAGGATTCTTCAGTGTTGCCTGCTTAGTAAAACGGCAGCATGCCAGCACTCACGACAGCTCCATATCTCAATATCTCTTGTTCTGTTCCCAATAAGCCAGCAACCCTCGCTGTAGCGTTTGGATCGTGCATTCCGTGAGGATGTCTGACTGCGAATGGTCTCTGGAGCTCAGCCGGTGCATGATATCGAACTCTGCCAACAGCTTCTTAGACCCTCTTTCGAGTTCTAGCTTTGAGACGTCTCAAAGCTTCTTATACCCTCTTTCGAGTTCTAGCGAGCTGTGCACTGCTATGCGAGAAGCTCATCGAATTTGAAGGAGGGTTTGAAGTGTTGATGGCAGGGTTGGATACCATGCACCTGCTAACCTCCAAGTTGACTTTTGAGTCGACTCAAAAGTTCAGTGAGTTTTATGGAGGGTTTAAAGTGTTGATGGCAGAGTTGGACATCATGCACCGTCTAACCTCCAGGCACCATCCACAGTACGGACGGGCTCAGGGAACGCATGATGCAAACGGTATGCCGAGGGTTGCGGACTGAACGAGAAACAGAATGAGAGAGGTTGAGATTTGGAGCTGTCGTCAGTGCTGGCGGGCCACCGTTTTGTTAAGCAGGCAGCACTGAACGAACTCTTCTATACTACTTGTTTTACGGACGGGAGCCCGTGTTACCAGTAGAAGGCCCATGGCTGCTGCAAGCAGGATCCTATCAGCTCGGTCGCCAGCAGCAACAGGTAATTATGTGCACCCCCCTATATAGTAGCCTATCCATCAGCTCAGCGTCCTTACACACACACAAACACACACATGTGTCAACGTACACACACATACCTGCACGTCCGCCCTAATAGCCACTCTGATATTGGGCAGCATGAGCACCGAGTCAAACACATCCATCAGCTGACTCGCCAGCAGAGGCACCAGCAGCTATCAGCACACCTACCTGCTCCAGTAGCCCATGTGTGTAACCAGAGGAGCAATGCCATGCCAGCCCACTCACACATACACACCTGCACGTCCGCCCTAATAGCCGCTCTGGTATTGGCCAGCATGAGCACTGAGTCAAACACGTCCATCAGCTGCGTTGCTGAGTCGCACGCAAAGTCGCAATCTGCAGCACAACACATGCCACATACACCATCACTACCACATGCCCCACATAACACATATCTCCCATACCTGCACATCCGCCCTGATAGCTGCTCTGATATTGGGCAGCATGAGCACCGAGTCAAACACGTCCATCAGCTGAGTCGCCAGCAGCGTCACGTTCTGCAGGCGGTTGGCCAACACGAATCCCAGAGAGCGCTCGAAGCAGGAGTGGGCGAGGATGGACGCGTAGAGGAAACTGCTCAGAATGGGCTCTCGCTCTGCCTGGAGGTCCATGCAAGGATGTGGGGAAGGTGGTGGGGAACGGGAAGGGAGGGGGGAAAGAGGATGTGGACAAGGACAGCAGCAGCGTCACGTTCTGCAGGCGGTTGGCCAACACGAATCCCAGAGTGCGCTCGAAGCAGGAGTGGGCGAGGATGGACGCGTAGAGGAAACTGCTCAGAATGGGCTCTCGCTCTGCCTGGAGGTCCATGCAAGGATGTGGGGAAGGTGGTGGGGAACGGGAAGGGAGGGGGGAAAGAGGATGTGGACAAGGACAGCAGCAGCGTCACGTTCTGCAGGCGGTTGGCCAACACGAACCCCAGAGTGCGCTCGAAGCAGGAGTGGGCGAGGATGGACGCGTAGAGGAAACTGCTGAGGATTGGCTCCCTCTCCGCCTGGAGGTTCACTCACACAGGGAGGAGGGGGGGGGAGGGAAGGGTGAGGGAGCACGAAGCCAAGAGAGCGCTCAAAGCACGAGTGGGCGAGGATGGAGGCGTAGAGGAAGCTGCTCAGAATGGGCTCCCTCTCCGCCTGGAAAGGTTCACTCACACAGGGAGGTGGGGGAGTGGAAGGGGAAGGGTGAGAGAGCACGAACCCCAGGGAGCGCTCAAAGCACGAGTGGGCAAGGATGGACGTGTAGAGGAAGCTGCTCAGAATCGGCTCTCGCTCTGCCTGCATGTATAAGGAAGTTGGGGAGAAGGGGTGAGGGGCAGCAGTGTCATGTTCTGCAGGCGGTTGGCCAACACGAAGCCCAGAGAGCGCTCGAAGCAGGTAAGGGCGAGGATGGACGCGTCGAGGAAGCTGCTGAGAATCGGCTCCCTCTCCGCCTGGAGGTTCATGCAAGGAAGAGGGGACGGAGAGTGGTGGAGAGGGAGAGGGAGGGAGAGGGAGGGAGAGGGGAAGTCATGGGGGGAAGGACAGCAGTGTCACGTTCTGCAGGCGGTTGGCGAGCACGAATCCCTGGGAGCGCTCTAAGCAGGAGTGGGCGAGGATGGACGCGTAGAGGAAGCTGCTGAGAATTGGTTCCCTTTCTGCCTGCAGGTTCACACACACAGGGAGACGACTTTTGAGGCGCCTAAAAAATCCACACACACAGGGAGGCACGGGAAGAGAGGGGAAGCGTGAGGGAGCACGAAGCCCAGAGAGCGCGCGATGCAAGAGTGCTTGTCCTCTCCATTTTCCCCAACTCCCCCTCCCCCACTCTCTCCCCCCCCCTCACCAACTCCTCCCCCCTTCCCCCATCTCTCTCCCCATCTCTCCGCCCACCACTCCCCCAACTCTTCCCCCATCCACACACCCCCGGCCTGGCTTCCGCGCGGATGGCCGCCCAGATGGGGTCGCTCATCGAGTAGTTCGCGCTCTCTTTGCTCCCCCTTCCCCCATCCCTCCCCCCATCTATTCCCCCAACCCGCGTACCTCCAGCCTCGCTTCCGCGCGGATGGCCGCCCAGATGGGGTCGCTCATCGAGTAGTCCGCCCCTCCGCGCGCCCCCGCATCCATCCCCATCGCCCCCGCCATCGCCCCCATGCCTCCCCCCATCGCTCCCCCCATCGCTCCCCCCATCCCTCCCCCCATCCCGGCGCTCCCCGCCTCCGCCCCATCCCTTCCCCCTGCGCGCATCCCCCTGCCAGCCGCGCCGTTCGGGCCCGCGCTTGCCGGCGCAGGCCACGTGGCAGGCCGTGATACGTCGTCCCAGGGAAGGGGGTAAGAAGGGGGGGCTTGGCTGCGGCTGTGCATATAAGCGGGAAACATCCACGCGGGGTCAACGTCTACACGACTATTACTAGTATTGTTATTACCACTACTACTATTATTGGTGTACGCGCCGCGTAATCCTGTCCATTCGTCGTCCATCGACGGTTGTGAGGGTGGTGGGGGAGAGAAGGAGGAGGAAGAAGATGAGGAGTTGACGGAAGGTTGTTGCTTGTCAGACGGGAGCGGCCTTCGCGGCGGAATGGACGAAGGTTCGTCTGAGGGGGGACTGCTGTCGGGCATTTTGGTCGCACGAACTCGCTGGTGCTGTCGTCGTCGCACGGGTTGTCGCACGATGCGAAGCCTGTTTGTTGGGTTGATCAGCCCGACAGACTCAAGCGATGCGTTGTGGTTCGATACGGTTTGGTGCGGTGAAGTGCAGAGCGACGCAGTGCGGTTCGACATGGTGAAGTCCCTAGCCCGAGCTGTATGGAAAGGCGACGCACGGAGCGACGTGCTGCCGAGGGCCGCCATGGTGACACGTGGCGAGATACGAATCTTATCGCGCTGACGTGGCGAGTTACACGACAAGGAACAACAAAGAATCACGTAACGTGACTAAGAAGAAAATATGCGAGCTAAGAATGACCTCCTACGCTCTAGCGGTGGTTCTGGTGTTCTATGTAACAAATAGAAGCGGAAAAAAAAAAAAAAGTCGTCTTGGTCAAAACTTGCTCACCGCGAAACTTAGGTCACTGGGTCACGTCGAATTTACTACGCGTATGGTGCTGCTGGTTCCTAAGAAACTGCTGTGCGGAATGCTGCCACATTTCACACCGCTGGCGGCGATTATCCGTTTGTCAGCATAATCCATTTGCATCAGGACATTATTGGGGAAGGTCAGGATAGAGCCAAGAACCGCGCTGTACCGTACTGTGTATAAAGAACCTCTGATTTACCGAAGGAAGCTACAACTAAACCAACAACCGATGTTCCCGATAACACGCATTCGCGAATACAGCAAACCTAACAACAGAGCTTCCTTGAATTCGGTTACAATTTCTCGAAGTGATACAAGAATCAAATTTCATTTCACACATTGCAGCAAAATATATGGCAAGCATTATGATCCATCCATGTACCATCAGCTCATTTACAGGACACAATCTGTACAGAAAAGTCACACTCAGCAAAAACGGTGCTTCAGCGTATTCACCAGGCGTCGAAGTTTCCGTAAGAGCTTGGTTGAGCCTTCTTCACAGGAACTGGGGGTGGGCCCATAGCCTTCGATCCAGACCCACTGCCCTCAGAAGGCTTTGCCACTGCTGGATTCAAATACTTGCCGATTCCTTGCGACTTGAAGACTTTCGGCGCTTCTTTGCCTGCTAAAGGATTGCTGTACCAACTCCCCACCGCATCCTGACAACATGGAGCATGTGTTAGTGAGTGGGAATACATAGAGAAAGACGGGATAGTGCGGGGAGAGAAATTACGGGAAGAAGAGACAGGAAGGGGGAGTGCACTTGCTGAGTGGGGATTATTGTGGTGGTGCTAAAACGAGTACAGCAGTATTGAAACGGCTCAAAACTGCGCAAGCTTTGGGCTTAGAGGTTGCACGTGGAGAATGCTTATATGAATTGGGAGGCGCACAACCATGTTTGAAAGACCCCACAAACATATTCAAAGGCGGAAAAAGTAATGAACATGTTCTCATGAACATGTTCTCACAAACATGTTCTCATGAACATGTTCTCATGAACATGCTCTCATGAACATGCTCTCATGAACCGCTCCCCATTACCTTGCTCCACTGTTCCCTATACACCCCACACACATACATGAAACACACATACACAGAGCCACATGCACTTGACACAAACTCCAACAGTCACTCACACTCGCACGTACACGCAACCCACAAACCATACACACCAGCACGCACACCCGAACTTGCTCACAGTGAACCACACACGCCAACATACCATCTCCTGTTGCTCCTCCCACGTCAGCTCCTTGCCTTCCTCTCCTCCTCCTTCAGATCAAATCTCATAGCGGAATAGCAGCAAGCACATACAAACACAGCAAGCATAGACACGCCAACATACCAGTTCCTGTTGCTCCTCCCACGTCAGCTCCTTGCCCTTCCTCTCCTTCTCCTCCTTCTCCCTTGCTGCTGCCTCCTCCGCCTCTGCCTCTGCATCCACCTCTGTGTACGGGTTCACAAACACTGTGATGCTCTCGATCGTGATGGGTTTCTGGCAAGGGGACAGAAGAACATGCAAGCATTGAGGTTAGGCTTATAACCTTTAACCTCCTTCCTCCTCCGCCTCTGCCTCTGCATCCACCTCTGTGTACGGGTTCACAAACACCGTGATGCTCTCAATCGTGATGGGTTTCTGCAGAAACACAAGAGGAGATACAGGGACAGAACGGCAAGCAAGAATTAGTGTCGTCTAGCGAGGTTGTTTTTGAGACGTCTCAAAAACAGGGACAGAACGGCAAGCAAGAATTAGTGTCGAACCCTCTCTCCCCACTCCCTGCTGCCTCCTCTGCCTCTGCCTCTGCATCCACCTCCGTGTACGGGTTCACAAACACGGTGATGCTCTCGATGGTGATGGGTTTCTGCAAAGACACATGGGCAAACAAGGAACAAAAAGCAAGCATTGGGTTAAGCCACACACCCTCTCTCTTCCCTTGCCTGCTGCCTCCTGCCTTCTCCGCCTCTGACTCTGCATCCACCTCTGTGTGCGGGTTCGAAGGCACAGCGGTGATCTCTATTGTAATAAGTTTCTGGAGACAGGGAAAGACAAGAGGACAGAGAATCACGGAAGCATTCGGGTTCGGCATATAACATTTGAAGAAAACAAAGAACTGCAAGCCGATGGAGTGAGGGCCGCTGTTGGCCATGGAGAGGAGAGGACTCTGCGCTTGCCCGACACCGAGTGATTGTCGTTGAGATGAGGTGCTGTGAGGTGGAGTGCCGTGAAGTGCGGTGAAGCGCTGTGAAGTGCAGTGGAGTGCTGTCTAATGCGGTGGGGCGAGGTGAAGGCAACTTACAAGAGGCCTGTCTTTATCATCCACGGCACTCCTCTCCATGGCAGTCAGGGTCTCCATTCCTCCCACCACGCGCCCAAACACCGAATGCTTGTAGTTGAGGTGAGGCGCCGACTTGAAGAGCACAAAGAACTGCGAGCCATTGGAGTGAGGGCCGCTGTTGGCCATGGACAGCACGCCCCTCTCGCTGTGGCCCAGCCGCGAGTCAAACTCATCCTGAAACGCCTTGCCCCATGCTGACTGCCCGCCTTTGCCTGTGCCGGTCGGGTCCCCCCCTTGAATCATGAAATTGCTGGAAGGGGGGTGAACAGAGAGCAGGAAGGGGGAGGAGGGGAGTGGAGGGCGGGAGAAGGGAAGGGGGAGGGGCCAGGGGAAAAGAAAAGAAGGGGAGGGTATTTGGTTCCAACACTGCGAGCGTTCGAGGGAGTGTGAGCCATTGGAGTGAGGGCCGCTGTTGGCCATGGACAGCACGCCCCTCTCGCTGTGGCCCAGCCGCGAGTCAAACTCGTCCTGAAACGCCTTGCCCCATGCTGACTGCCCTACTTTTCCGGTTCCAATCGGTTCCAATCATAAAATTGCAGGGGAAAAGAGGGGGTGGGAGGAGGGTTGCGAGGGGGAGGGCCACTGTTGGCCATGGATCGCACTGCTCAAGAGAACACAACATGCATGCATGCATGGGAGCAAGGAGGTAGCATGTACCGAATGCAGTTGTGGAAGAGGGTTCCATTGTAGTAACCCCTCTCAGCAAGTGTCAAGAAGTTCTCGCACGTCCGTGGAACCACATGGCAGTGCAGCTCCACGTTCAGATCCCCCACACTCATGTGCACGCGGCAATACCCCTTCTTCTTTGGCTTCTTCTCCACCCTCACCATTTCATATTCCGTCTTTGTCACCGGTTCGGTTCATTCACCGAGCGCACCATACACATCCATGGGAGGGGAGAAAGCATGTAACACGTACCGAATGCAGCGGTGGAAGACAGTCCCATTGTAGTACCCTCTCTCCGCAAGCGTAAGAAAATTCTCGCACGTCCGTGGAACAACATCGCAATGCAGCTCCACGTTCAGATCCCCCACACTTGTGTGCACGCGGCAGTACCCCTTCTTCTTTGGCTTCTTCTCCACCCTCACCATCTCATACTCCGTCGAAGTCACCGGCTCATACACCGTCGAGGTAAACGACCGAGTTGTTGCTTCCGAGGTATAAGCGCTTCGGACCAGTTTTGTGTTTTCTTTGATAGGGACTCTCTGTCCTGCTGCGTGCGCGGCTGCGCGCGCGTGGGCCTTTTTCTCGTCTGTCGCCTTGGCGGCGGCAGCGCTGCGGCCGGAGAGAGCAGCACTTGCCGCGTCGACAATGCTCATAGGCGGAGGGGCGCCTGTGCCTGCTCCTGCTGCTCCTCCTGCTCCTGCTGAACCGGCAGCACCAGCGGTGGTTGCTGCGCTGCCAGCGATTGAAGGGGCCTCCATTTCTCTCTGCCTCTGCAGGATCTGCTGCTGAGCGTGCTTCTTCTGCTGCTCCGCTTCCCGCTCCTCTCCTCGCTTTCTCTTCCCCTTCTCCCCACCTCCCTTTCCTTTACCACCTCTTCCTGCTCCTCCAGTTCCTCCCGCTCCTCCTCCCGCTCCTTCTCCCCCTCCTTGTTCTACACCCTCTCCCCCCTCTTGTGCGGCTAGGGCTTCTCTGGCAGCAGCGGCGGCAGCAGCAGCAACCTCCTCTGCTTTTCTCGCCTCTAGTGCTGCTGCTGCAGCAGCTGCTTCCTTCCTTGCCTTGCTTCCTCCCCCGCCCATTAGTAACTGGGATGCACCCTGGGAGAAGGAGACAAGGGGAATTGAAATCACTATGCAAGTTACTCGAATAAGCACTGAAGGATGTATTTAAGTGAAACGATACAGACATCGTTCACCTAAAGTGGAATTTCAGACAGCTTGTCAGAAGTAAGGTGTCACAATTGATCTCCAGGAATTCAGCCCAGAACAACCTAACCATCCCAAACAAGCCGGGCCCCAAATCACACCCCAGACCAGATAAGCTCGCCCCAGATGGACCTACTTTGGATGAACCGACTCCAGGCTCCTCGCCACCATTTTTGGGAAGAGCAGCCAGCATGCGCTGAATGCTGAATGCAACCCACAATAACCCCAGACAAGCCCAGCCCAGATGGACCTACCTTGGATGAACCGACTCCAGGCTCCTCGCCATCGTTCTTGGGAAGGGCTGCCAGGACGCGCTGAATGCTCTCAGACACTGCTGCATTCACTCCCGATGCTGCTGCACTGCCTTCGCCTGGAAAGAGAGGAACCGGGGGGAAGGAATACGGGGCATTGGCAGACAGAAAGGAGAGGCCAGGGTGCGCTGAATGCTCTCCGAGGCTGCTGTGTTTACTCCAAGCCTCAGAAGAGGTTTCCTCCACGACAATGTGAGAGTTTCCAGCGCGCCTCAGCCAATGTGAGAGTTTCCAGCGCGCCTCAGCCTGGAAACTCTCTGACACTGCTGGATGCTGTTACCTACCCGCTTTAAAAGGCTGACATGCATTTCCACGGCTCACCTTCCTTGGGAGCTGCGAGGTTCTGCTTGACGTGATCGAACTCCGTGAGCACATTGGCGTCCAGATTGTTGGGGTCCTGCAGAGGAGAGGGGCAAGACCAAAAACAGGGGCGACAAGGAAGGGGAAGAAACCTGTTGTTTGGTTTGGACTGAGAGGCTGTGCTTGATGTGGTCGAACTCCGTGAGCACATTGGCATCCAGATTGTTGGGGTCCTGCGGGGGCGGGGGGTAGTGGAGGAGAGGGATGGAAGGAAACAGAAAAGAATCGCAAGGAGGGATAGGAAGGAAGAGAAGAAAGACTCCTTGGATTGGAGCTGAGAGGTCTGTGCTTGACGTGGTCGAACTCCGTGAGCACATTGGCGTCCAGATTGTTGGGGTCCTGCAGATGGGAGAAGGGAGGAGGGAAAGGATGGAAGTAATTGGAACAGGGTGAGAATAACAAGCGGGAAAGAGAAGGACAGGAAGGACTGGGTCATTGGAGCTGCGAGGTTCTGCTCTGCTTGGCGTGGTCGAACTCTGTGACCACATTGGCATCCAGGTTGTTAGGGTCCTGAGAAGGCGAAGGGAGATGGAAGGAGCCAGCACAGGGTGTGAAGGAAGGACAACAAGGGGAGAGAGGACGGGAAAGGTCGGGTCATTGGGGCTGCAAGGTTGTGCATGATTTTTTAGGCGCCTCAAAAATCTGCAAGGCTGTGTATGATGGTATGGTCGACTCCGTGAGAACATTGAAATTCAAATTGTTGGGGTCTTGACGGAAAGAGGACCCGGCAGGAAAGGCAGGAAAATGAATGGAATTGGCAAGCAAAGAGGGGCACGCTGTGAGAATGCCATGTGCATGAATTGTGATGCCATCACATGCCTGCACACAAGTGATGATGTGACGTCACATGCCTGAATGGTGATGATGTCAGCACGCGTGAAGGGCTCATCTGTGAGCAGCTCGTTCCAGTTCTTGGGCTTCACGTTCAGCTCCTTGATGGCCTGGTGTGGAAGGGATGGAGGAAGAGGCAGGATGGGAGTGGGGGAAGGGAACAGTTGTAAAAGAGCAAGGGCGAGGGAGACGAGTCATATCTGTGAGCAGCTCATTCCAGTTCTTGGGCTTCACGTTCAGCTCCTTGATGGCCTGGTGTTATCAGGTGGGGGAGGGAAGGGAATAGTGTGAAAGAGCAGGGTAAGAGACAGGTACGATATTTGTGAGCAGCTCCTTCCAGTTCTTGAGCTTCACGTTCAACTTTTTGATGGCCGGCCTGGTGTGGGGAGGAGGGAAAGTGATTCAGTAAAAGAGCAGGGTGAAGATTGAGACCCAACAGACCTGGCAGGGTGAAGATTGAGACCCAACAGACCTGGCAGGGTGAAGATTGAGACCCAACAGACCTGGCAGGGTGAAGATTGAGACCCAACAGACCTGCCAACAGCTTCTCCGTTCCGAGTCACATTTCAGAATCCCCAAAAGTGTCTCCAACAATCCTTGGCCTACACGTTCAGCTTCTTCTTGGCGGGCTGGAATAAGATTACGATGCAGTCCATACAGCGCGTACCAGGAATTTTCCTACCTCATTCATAGCACAACATGCTAGTAGCACAACATGCTAGTAGCACAATATGTGATCATTTCTTACACGACATATTTGCCTTGTTTTTTCTCCTCGTCGCTATCATTTCTCCTCGTCGCTATCATTTCTCCTCGTCGCTATCATTTCTCCTCGTTTTGCCATGCTTCTCCCTTTCTATCACCCCTTTCTCCCGTTCTCCCATCGCTCACCTCGTAGCAGAAAACGTTGCCGGTTGACTTCACAGCCACGATGTGGGTAAACTCGGTAAACACCTTCTTTAAAACTGGGCAGTGGTACTCGCCTGAGGCAAGATGAGCGATTTGAGCGTAACAAGATCATTACAATCTAAAAAATGAGAAACACAAAGATGGAAAGAATAATGATTGTGTGTAATGGGATGGAAGGAAAACAAAAGCAAGATCAGAAACACCACAGATTCAGCAAACTGCATAAGTGACAGAGGTAGGACGGCAATAACTAACATCCGGGTTACAATGAAACGAACCGTCAGCGTTTTTGTGGAAGTGAAGCTTGATTAGATCCTTTAGAGCCAGAGGTTTGCCGGTAACCGGGTTACGCTTGAACTTCTGGATGTAGGGCACGATGTTACTGTGCAGCCGACCATCCGAGAAAAGGGCGGGTGATGGGGGTGCAGTGCAGGGGTGGGTAGGGTCAGCAGGGAGATAGGGGGAAATGTTGTGGAGTAAGAAATGTTGTGGAGTGGTTCATGCAAGTGAAAACGTAAACTTTATCATTCGATCCTTCTCTATTCATGTCATGCAAACAGAAACAGGTAGAAATAATGCTTTAAGCCTCTATTCTATCCATGACATCTAACGGGACCCTATTGACATCAGGGGGTAATTGACGGATCCGATTTTACAAACAACCACATGCACCACACTCAGGACGAGTCTTTGTAATGACCTATTCCTTTCAGGACTGTGATTGTGAATTTATGAACTTGGCGAACCAGCACGATACTTCTTACAGACCACACAGAAGCGTGTTATAAGAGGAACAACAGGGTTCTGTACATTCAATGTGCATCGTAGCTCAGCAATAGAAGCACATTGGTGTGGACTTCATGTGACTTTTGTATCGACTCAAAAGTCACCTTCATCAGCTTTGTAATAGTGTTTTGGAATTGAGGAAGTGAGACGAAGCTTACACAATATCGTAGACGTGGCCCTCTGGAGAGCAGACTGGATCCTCAAACGGGGTAAAGGAGACTCTGCAAACGAGGATAACGGGAGCGACAGCACATGTGAAAATGAAGGAGAGGGTGAAGGGATGGTGAAGAGGAAGCGGAACAACGGCAAGGTGACGGGGAAGCGGAAGGAGAAGGGGAAGGGAAAGGGGGGAACGACGGGAAGGGGAGTGAGGGGAAAGGAGGGGAAGAAGGCAACCATAGGTTTCAGGACGCAAAGGTCAGGCACGTATGCATAGCAATTGAAGTGGGGACGGCGAAATAGAATGGAAGGAAGAAGTGGACGGGGAAGGGGAAGCGGCGAGGAGCGGGACGGGGAAAGGGAAGCGGAAGGGTCAGTCACGCACGCACAACAGTAGAAGGGGAGGCGGCGGAAGGGCGTGCGGGTATCTTTGGCCTTGGCTCCCCCCCACTCCGACGCCCACTCCGTTGTGGTGATGAACATGCGATCCTTGCTGTGCTGCTTTTTACCCAACTTGGCTGACTATGAACGGTATCGGATGTGCGTGTAGCGGAGATGAGGATGACACGAAGGGAACCAGCGATGCGGATGGATCCTTAAAGACGAGCCGACTGAAATGGGCCGCTAGCAGATCAGAAAGGCGAGGAGACGGCTCGGTAACTGCGCTTTCTCCTGAAAAAAAGTACAATCGCAGTCACGCTAAATCGAAGCAACAGACCTAACAAAGTTACGAACAAGACTCCTATATTAGCAAATCCGTGTTTCACATCCTTGTTTCCATATCCACAAACGTGTAACGCTGAGTTCGCTTGCCAGTGCACCTAAACAGCGAATCACAGCGAATGTTGTCGCGAAAGCTCCTTGGCGAGCCTCTTCGTCGCAGAAGCAAGCAAGAGGCGACAGGGTCTCCTCTGCGACCCGTAACCTCTTTCGTGAACCCGCTGCACCTCGCAAACGTTCGTCAGCCTCTAACAGTTTTCCTGCAGACAACGTAGCGTGCCCAGGGATCTTGAGCAATGTTCGGTCCGTGACAACATTCTCGCATTGCGAGGAAAGCCCGGTTACAGCGATTTCTCCTTGCCAATCAGGACCCGTTCGTCAGCCAGGTCGCCAATCGCAGTTCCCAAGGCTCAGCGGGATTGGTCAGGAATCCTGATTCCAGGTCCCAGGCCCCAACGTTTTTTGGGCGAGCTGTTTCGGGTGGAGTTCCAAAAGTCAGCAGGCCCTGCACTTGCTGGTTTGGGTCCAGTTGTCCTATCTGGTTCAGATGGTTTAAGCTGGTTTTATCTGGGTTCAACTGGGTTCAGTTCTAGAACGCTGGTTTAGGCTTCAGGGTGAAGCTCATATCTTCAGAGCCATTTATTTCGCTCCAGAAATTTCCCGCCAAGCTTTTGGCTCGCTCACACCTTCTCATAGACATCCATTCAGTTCAGTACCAGACTTCATTTCTGTGAAACGCTGGGTGCAGAAATTCCCAGCATTTCCGACGCTGGTGGACTATTTCTTCTTCTGTGTCGTGCACCAATCTTCAGCATTTTCTTTTCGTTTATCGTAGAAACCTCTTCTTATAGCAATATCTGTATATTCTTGTATTTTCACGGGGATTCGTCACCATGCTTCTCAATGACGACCTTCCTGATTTTCCGAATCCGTTTGACAACGCGGGAGACTATTCTCTGGGTTTCGAAGTGAAGACCCTCAAAGAGCAGCTGCTATGCCACGTCATGGGAAGCATTCGAGAAAAGACGGATTGGATGAGGAAGGTCATGGACGATGTGATTGTAGCGAAGTGGAAGGAGGAGCTGACGAATCCCGTCCGGCCGGCGAAAGCTTATTTCGTGAGGGGAGAAAGGGACGTGTCGCTTGACGATCCCGCCAGCGTGGTTTCATTCTTGAGGGACAACGGCAAGAGGGTTGTCAAGGTGAAGTTTCTTGCCGTCACATATTCATTTTAACCCGAACCCCTCATCCGATATCATTCTGCTGGAAGCTGATGATATCAATTGTTGAGACTTGTTCAACTTGCAACTTGCTGACCCTCTTCCTCACGTGCATTCCCTTGGTTCTCGTCCCACCAGGTGGACCCTGATCTAGTCGACTACGCCATCAAGGAGCTTCGCTGGCAAGCCTCCACTCACCACCCCTCCTCTCCGGCTATTGCAGTCACACCAGTCATGCCAGTCATGCCTGAAGTCCTGCCAAGCGCAGTGGACGGCGTTTACCTCATTCCGTCCGCCTCCTTCCCGCCTGACATTCTCCAGCCGTTTCTGCAAGGCATGCATCGCCTGGAGTCTGTTCCTGAGGATCAAATTGATTACCATCCAGGGTCGAACAAGCAGGTCATTGACTTGGTCCATCCGTCACTCCACTGCCTGGTGCACGGCCGAACCAGAGTCATTACCGAGCCTGGCTACACCACTCTGGATGTCCTGCCGTGGGACCAGATGGTCAGTGAGTTAGGCTCGGTTGCCGATGCTGGTGAAATTGCAGGTTTGGCAACGGATCCGGAGGAGGGAAGTCGGGCTGGGGTGAGGAGGAGGGTGGAAGACGAGTTTTTTTCAGATACATTTCAATGGCTGCCAGCAGAGATTGATGTTTCTGCGGACGGGCAGCATGCAAAGTTCCGGTCATACATCAACAATCTGCATCCGCTCGAGTTTGCAGAGACGTATCGAAGCCTGGAGAAGATATTTGCCTTGGCATTCGTGCCGCTATTCAATCAGGTGCTGACAGATTCTGCCAACCCACGACCACTGCGGATCACTGCCGACCCGTACAGGTATTGCTTGGCTGAGAATGTGTTCGTAGTGATTCCGTCCTGCTTTTCGCTTCTCGTAGTGTCATCTCATAGTGACGGCTGTGCATGCTCAGCAAAAAAATGTCGATTGGAAGCTCGCTATGAGCCAGCTGCCTAACAGCGCATGCGTTCGTTTGCTCCATTCTTCCCCAACCCACTGCAGCTGGTATGAAGGCTGGAGGGGTGATCGGGAGTATGACTTGAGTGATGATGACGACAACGAGGCATATATAGAAGACAGGGAACCCATCCAGCCGGAGGTTCCGGACTTCTCACCTCCCCCAGAACCACCCATGGAACGGGTGGTGAAACTGCAGGGCAGACGGTTACAGGTGATTGTGAAGATTGCTTCCATCTGCCTCACCCCAGACCAGCCCAAGTACCCGGGAGGCACGTGGCATGTGGAGGGCATGAGGAATGAAAGTATTGTGGTGAGTCATTGCCCGCGTTCACCTTTGCCTGCTAGCTGTTCTCGTTTTATGGTAACACTAATCATCCCTTCATGGTTTTGCCAAATTTCAATCACAACACGTTTCCCTTACAGGCCACTGGTATCTGTTACTACGACATTGAGAACATTTCGGAGTCACGCCTGAAGTTTCGACACACAGTCAGGGAGCCAGACTACGAGCAAGACGACCGAAAGGGGGTCCAAATGGTATACGGGCTTGTGGAAGAAGGCTCACTCGTCCAGCCCTTAGGCTCGGTCCAAACATCCACGCCAGGCCTGTGCCTGGCCTTTCCAAACCACTACCATCACTGTGTGGCTCCCTTTGAGCTTGCCGACGAGTCCAGGCACGGGCATCGCAAAATCCTTGTGTTTTTCCTTGTGGACCCTAAGACAAGAGTTGTGTCAACAGCACGCGTGCCTCCTCAGCAGCTTGCATGGAGGCGCAACGAGCTGGACAGGAAAGGGAACCCATGTCGGAGCCTGCCTTGTCTTGCACTTGATATGGTCGCAGACAGGCTGATTACAGGTCCATCAGCAGTTGGAATGAGTTTGGAAGAGGCGAAGGAGTACAGGGAAGAGGTGATGGAGGAAAGGAAAGCACTCTGTGAACACTAACGTGGGGTCTTCTGTTTGGATGTAAATGGCCTGTATCCATAAATAGATATGTATCTTTACTAAGTGCACTGAATACTATCTACTAGTAATAAAAGAACATAATGAAAGAAATACATGGGAACAAAAGTCTTGATCCCAACTTTGCCTTGCTCCACAAAGACAACAGACAACAGACAACATCCCACCCAGACAAGCACCCAACGTAACAGCAACCCACGTTGCAATTGTGCAAGCAACTCACCCACCATAACAACTATTTGAGTTGCGCTGAGTGGACGGCTCTAAGCCTGACTCCCTACAAATGGTTTCAAAAACTGGCAACCGGCGAGGGCTGCCAAGAGGGGTGGAAAATGCACTTCCCACAGAAGATACAGTGCTCCTGGCAGCGGGAAGAGAAAGCTGAGACTTCAAGGGAGATGGCACGAGGCCAACAGGTCCAGGAATGCGAGAGCTGGTCGTGTTGAGCTGACTAGGAGAAGCTCCAACAGCTGGAGAGCTCGCCGCTGACGTGGAAGCTGAGGTATAATGAATGAAACGGCATCGCGTGCCATATGGACAGGTTCCATTCAAATTGAATGTTCTACAAACCTGCAAGGGGGGAAACCAGGAATGCATGATCAGTCACTCTCAAACGCCGGCAGTAGCCCAGAAAAACCAAGGAGATGGCTTACCTCAGTCTTGTACTTGGGATGGCGTGCAACAGCTCGCAGCTCTTCCCTTCCATGTGCAAACTGGCATTTCCCTCCATAACGACAGGCACCCGTTTCTTCCCAAGACCGACACAGCTCGGTCTTGTACAGCGGATTGGTTGGACTAGCAGCGCTGGCAGCAGCATCTGCCGCAGCAGCTACTGCAGCTTCCGCAGCAGCAGTAGCAGTGACTGAAGGAGAAACAACTGAATCAAGAAGTGCTGCACTGGAGAGAGAGCGGGCCAGCAGAGTAGCAGTTGGAGGAGCAGGAGATGAAGGACCTGACATGAACCCAGAAAAGGCTGAGGCTGGCACTGCTCGCAAAGCTCCCCAGTTTTCCACCTTCAAAAAGTCATGAAGCCTACCAGCTGGTACAACTTCCTGCCTAGGAGTGGCAGAACCCCCAGGTACAGCCAGGCTGGAAGATGGGATCTCAGATGCCAGGCCTTCTCCTAACCAAGGCTTCTGCCATCCTGGAGTTCGATCAAACGTTGAAGCGGCCAAATAAGTTGGGTCTGAATCAACAGATGGTAACAGAGGTGCGGAGCGTGGCTGGTAGGTTTGAGAGTTGAAGGAACTGAGCTGTCCCAGAGGAGCTTGAACTGGCGGGATGGAACTTCCTGGGAGCATGCTCCCAGAAAATCCATGAACGGCAGAAAATGATTCAATAGGCCCTGCACAGAACCAACCACCGCAAATTGTGTTCAGCACCATTGAATGCACAGGAATAAAAGATCCACGGAAAGGATTTCACACACACCTGGGGAGGCAAGAAAGCTCGGAATCTGGAGAGATGGCAATGCCAGAAGAGCTGCTCTTCGAGCTCGCAAGCTGGATGTTGCAGCCAAAAGCTCGGATGTGGTTGGACCAGAAACCCCTGGAGAACCAGTAAATGACCTCCCTGATCCATTCTGGTACAGGGGTGTCCACACTTGAGGCGTGGTTGGCAGAGAAACAGAACCGTTGCTCTGAGAAAAGATTCCACCCAGACTTGCCGGGTCAGCAGTGCGAGAGGAAGGTGTACCTACACCACGGATTTCTAAAACTGACAGCTCAGGAGCTATGTTGCATAGCCTCGGAGCAGCAGGAACATAAATGTCGTGACCATTTTGAAGATTCTGGACTTTTTCACGTTGTCTGTTCCCTTCAGCCTTGTCAGGTTCAGCTGCATAATAAAGAGCGGAATAGTCAGGTATGCTTAAAAAACACACACAAAAATAAAGAGTAGAAAACGCTCGTCTTGTGAAGCACCATAAAATCCTCGGAAGACTCACTCTCACTGTCTTCAGAATCAACACCTTCCAACTCAGATTCGGCTGTTGGGCTCAAGCCAACACCTATGTCGTGAAGTGACTTAATAATGAAACTGTTGGGGTTTCCGTCAGCACAATAAGTAGAAACTTCCTGCTCGAGTGACTCTTCAGCAGCAAACGCAGCAGCCATAGCGGCCCTCTCTTGATTTAGCTGGACACATTTCTGCACATAAAAAGGTCACAGGACATTATTAATGCATACAAAAAAGAGATCTGGACGAAAACAAGTATATCAGAAAGTTCTTACCCTGAATAGAAGATGCTCTCCAGAAGAGCCTCTCGTAGCAGCATGAGCACGACTGCCACAACCACGACCGAATGACCTCCGTCCTCCTCCTCCACTCACTGCTGCAGCCAGTCCAATCTGACTGTTTGGATAGGTAGAGGATGCAGCACGTGAATGCAACCCACTCTGAGAGCCGACCTCGGTGAGACGCACCGGTTCATTCCGGCTCTCGCTTTCACGATCTGAATGGATTAGGCTGGAACCACCATGGTTTCTTTCACTGAAGCATGGCTGAGTCTCTCCTTCAGTTGCAGCTGTGTTATCGCCTCCGTTACTCCTCGTATCCCTCATGCTAGAGCCACGTGAGGCCGACGAGAGGACCTGTGATTGCCGGAATCCAATAAGCATGTTCATGGTCGCAATGTACAGGTCCAAGCACCTTTGAATATGGAAAGGTATAGCCTCTCAAAGCGGACCGCCATGCGTCATCGCTGCTTCCTTCCCGCGGAAAATGAAACGCAGAAACCTCATCGTCGAGAAGGACGAGGTGAAGCAGATAGAAACCCTCTCTCATACTGACCACAACAAGATAAAGCGTCAGGTAGAGCCAGACTGGCCAGGCAGAAGGCTAGAGCTCCTCGAGTTTCCAACATAGCGTCGCGACAAAGTTAGCTGTCGGAATAGCAGAGGAAACCCTTGCGATGAGATGTCGCGTTTTAAGAGACCCAGCCGTGGTGGTAAGCTCTCCAGCATGGCCCTTGCGTCGCTCTTTGAACACATCTGCTTTTCCATGACCTCTCAGGACGCTGCTCCAGAGAGCAACCTAGAGAGTATCCGGGAACCCAATGTTTCAGGTGCATCATGAGAGAGTCGCTGGTCTCATCCCACAGAGCATGCTGAGAAACTAGCTCTGCATCCTGCATTCAGGCATGCAGGCGATAGGATGGTTCTGAGAGGCACGTCACCAACTCCCAAGGTGGAAATGAAATGCGCAGTGGATGGAACAGCTGATAATTTGTTCGCTAGAGTGCTAAGCGATGGAAGATGTATTGTGATGTTTGCAAGTGGACTTCAAAGCTGTATTTCAGTGAACTAGCTGTATTTCAATTTCATACCTGTCACTAACGGTATTGTATAGCATTTTGTGATGGCCTTGTTATAGCCAGTAAGGCTGTGAATGTGAGCATTAGAATATACATTAATAAGACAACCATAACACCACAACCAGAGGGAGGAAAACACGCAAACACTGTGATAGGCATCAACGAGAGACGTCGTGTCCAAAATTTGCCTCGTTCCGCATCAGCACAGTTACCAGTTGGCATGAAAACCATGTGGCTGTGACGGTTCATGCCAGTTGGCCTTGGTTGGCGCATATCGAGACTGGTGAGCGAACCCCCATAGCTGGAAAAAGGAAAAAGGAATGCAAATTGTGAGGCCGATGTGTAGAAGGATGTGGCTGCAGAAGGAAAGGGCTGGAGTCTACATGTACTCTGGCAAAATGGAAATCATGGATGTGGAATGTATTCCTCCCCATCATCTCTGGCCTGTAACTCTCCATCGGATCCTCATCTTCTTGTTTGAAAATGTGAGGTGGTTCCTTCCTTCACCTGCTCATGCCTGTCCTCACCTCAGGTCATGTATGCCACCTCACCTCACTCACCCTCACATGCTCGCATCACCTTTGAGGCGCCTCAGAAATCAAATGACCACCTCACGTTCTCATCTCACCTTCACGTGTTCTCTCACCTCACCTCCTCACCCTCACGTCCACATGCTATCCCCACCCTCACCTCCACATGCGCTCTCCACCCTCACCTCGACATGCTTGATCTTGAAGTCCTCAGACTTGGAAAGGCACGGACTGCAGAACGTCTCACACGCACCGCTGGAGCCCGTCAGGCTGGGGGGGAGGAAGGGGGATGTGGGGAAAGAGGGGGGAAAGGAAAGAGATTGAAGGTGTACGAACTGCATGATAGGGCATGAAGAGTTCCGATTTGGCGAGAATCAGGCTGCAGAATGTCCCACAGGCACTGGTGGAGCCTGTCAGACCGGGGGTAATGACATAACAATGTCATAGCACAAGCAATATTAAGGACACTGGAAGGTTGTTGAAGAAAGCTGGCAGTTTCAGCTGGTTGGTGTGGTACCAATGATTCAATTAAGGTCTAGACCAACAGACGTGCATGCATTCAATCGGGGGGAAAAGGTGATTTGTTAAAAGGTGACTCACAGGTCCTCCTGCAGGCACAGGGCGAAGTGGCCTCCGCCTCCAAAAGAAAGAGCTTCGTTCAGACACAGGATAAAGTAGCGGTTGGCCCCTGACAGGTGTGAGAGACGAAAACCAAACAGTAATGTATCCAGGAATTAAGAATGGGATGCCCCGTAACTATAGTGCACACAATAACACATAAAAGTAATATTGGTAAAAAAACATATCAGAACATACTCTTCCACCCTCCCCACTTGTTACCTGTAACCTTGTAGACCGTGGGCTCCCCCGTAATGGTGGTGAACACAAAGACGTCACTGGATCCCTGCCACAGGCAGAGGACAGCCGGAGATAGAGCCAACAATGGAAAATTGAAAATTTAAGGTTTCGATTTGAAAAGTAGGGCGGAGCATCAATCAAGGAAAAGGAAGAACACAGATAGGGGTGACTCTGCTGCCTAAGGGGTTCAGCTGTTGTGCTACTCCTGGACACTCGTTCTTACAACCAGAAACAGCAGAAAAGGATGATATCTGATGTGAACAGCTAAATTGTGAGCGAAGAGCATGTTCGAATACGCACCTGGTATTTTCTGCGATTCGAGGCTACAAGCGCTTGAGATGAGAAGCCGCCAAAGACGGTGCCGTTATCCTCAGTCACCACCTGGCGAGGTGGTGCGGGGAGGAAGTGGGAGAGGGAGTTTGGAAGCGGGAGGAGGGGGGGCGTAGATGAGGAAAGGGGAAAAGTGGTGAGGGATTTGGGCACAGATGCATAGAGGGGTTTGAGAGCCGAACTTATAGGCGCGCGTAAATTCAGTGCTTCGATACCGTCGTGCTGCTTCTTGTGGTAACCAGGGAAAGACGGGTACATGGCATGGTTGGTAAGGGAACGAATGTAAAACACAGTCTGAGGGATAAGCGGTGGATATTTACAAGCGCCAACTTTTGAAGCTCGAATCTATGAATGGATGAGGGCTCACCAGCAGGCAGGGGCCTGGCATCATGGAGCTGCGGCGGCAGAGAGTCGATAAAGAAATGCCGTGAACGGATGGATGGATGAAAGTCAAAACGAGCATCGAGAGGGGCTCACCAGCAGGCAGGGGCCTGGCATCATGGAGCTGCGGCGGCAGAGAGTCGATAAAGAAATGCCGTGAACGGATGGATGGATGAAAGTCAAAACGAGCATCGAGAGGGGCTCACCAGCAGGCAGGGGCCTGGCATCATGGAGCTGCGGCGGCAGAGAGTCGATAAAGAAATGCTGTGAACGGATGGATGGATGAAAGTCAAAACGAGCATCGAGAGGGGCTCACCAGCAGGCAGGGGCCTGGCAACATGGAGCTGCGGCGGCAGAGAGTCGATAAAGAAATGCCGTGAACGGATGGATGGATGAAAGTCAAAACGAGAATCGAGAGGGGCTCACCAGCAGGCAGGGGCCTGGCATCATGGAGCTGCGGCGGTAAAGGGTCGATAGAGAGATGCCGTGCTTGAATGTGCTGGGGTGGTGAGAGATAAAACGGGGTGGGGAGTGGTGGTGTGGTATGGGTGGATGGGGAGGAGGGGGGAAGAGGGATAGGGGCAACAAGAGCGGGTGAAGAATGAGGGAAGAAGTGGTGACGAGATGAGGCAGGCGGGGATGAGGCAGGCGGGGGATGGGGCAGGCGGAGGATGGGGCAGGCGGAGGATGGGGCAGGCGGGGATGCGGCAGGCAGGGATGGTTCAGCACAGCTACAAGGGAAGATATTCAAAGCTGCTTCTGAGAGAGCAATTATGTTGACGCGATGAGAAACCGAAGCCCAGGAGGGTCCGTGAAGCAAAAAAGAGCAAAAGTGGAGGGAGGGGGGAGTGGGGAGGCGGTGGGGAAGGGGTGGGGAAGGTGGGAGGGGAAGGGGAAATTGGGACAGGAGGAGAGGAGGGGGCGCAGCAGTATACATCCTTCATTTTATGTTCGTCCTGCACCCCTCACTTCCATTCGCGTGCATTTGTGCTTCTTCAGCTCACCTGTACAGGAGAACCCACTCGCGTCCACTGGCAATTGCAGGCAGGCTCTGGCAAATCACGGAGCGACACGTGTCGGACAGCAGGAACGACTCCTCCATCATATCTGGCAGCCTGGGGCTCATCAAGGGCGAAGCTTCCAAGGAATTCGGAGATAATATCCCCCCCCTCCCGCCCCCGGCATTGGGAGATACGATTCCGCCTCTCCCAGTGGCAGTATTGGTGGGAGAGCAGATTCCCTCTCTTCCAGTGGTTTCCCTCGCAGGCTCGGAGGCTCGGGAAGTGAGGGCTTGGGAGCAACTGGCTGTCGTCACAGGTTCGGACATCCTCTGCTGAAGCTGCTCGTCTGCTCCGGCTAAACTTGCTCTTGATACTGACACTGCTCCTGAAACTGCGCCTGCAGCTGACACGAGTGTCACTGACGATGCTGACGACACAGCAGCGGATGCTGACGTCGCCACGCCCCCTTGATTCGCCCCGTTGTTGTTCTCTCGCGCCTCCAGCCTGGACGCTGACGTCAGCGCCACGTCACCACATCCAGCATCGGCAGAGAGCGACGAGGAGGAAGAGGACGGGGTGACTGACGGAGAGGATTCCCAGGATCGAGCACCCCTTGGTCCAGCCGCAAAGCGTGATATAAACGGGGGTAACCAGCCACGCTTTGCCCCTCCCCCACTCCCTCCGCCATTCCCACCCCCACCAGCACCACCTCCTCTCACTCTCCCACTCTCCCCAGCATCCCATTTCCTCAGACCCTCCTCCTGTCCCTCCCCTCCCTCCTCTCCACCGAACTCCCCTCCCATCCCACCTCGTCCCCTTCTCCTCACCCTCCCATCCTGCCCTGATCCCAAACCGCTCGGTACCACTCCTCCTTTCCCCTCACCGTCCACGACCCCACCGTCCTCCTCCCCCACCTCCTCATACTCCTCCTCCTCGAAATCCGAGTCCACGTAGGACCCTCCAGATTCCGAACACGTGTCAGAACTCGCCTTGTTCCCGCGCGGATTGATACTAATCAGCGACAGCAGAAACGCGGCGAGAGAAGACGTGTCCGGCCCTTCGAATTCCTCATCCACGCCTAGCGTCGATGGCACGCGCGGAGGCCGTTTCCCCACTCTACCCAACCCGGACTCGGCAGCAGCTGCCACTGCTGCTGCAGTCGCTGCGGCGATCTGCGCGGAATCGTCACCGTAGCTCCCCGCTAGGCCTTCCCCCGCTGCTGCTTTCACAGGGGTTCGTCTCCCGGGCGTTCCTAATCCGGAACCTTCGCCTAACCCTGCTGGCACCCCCGTGCCTGAACCACTTCCTGGTTCGGCTCCAATGGCTCCTAATGCTCCTCGTGGGATGTCGTCAGGTTCTAAGTCTGCGCGTGTGGAGGCCGAAACGCCAGCATCGGAATCGTATAACGCGCCAGAGCGACTCGCGGTACTATCTATGGCACTGGTATTAATCGTGGAAGTGGAAGTGGTAGTGTTAGTGTTAGTGGTGCTGGTGGTGTTTACAGTGGTGCTGGGTTTTGCGCTCGTGCCTGTCTTGACAGCTGAGCTACTGGCTGCGCCTCGTCTCGTGGTGGTGGAGGTGGTGGTGGTGCTGAAGGAAGTTGCTGCGAAGCTGCTGGCATTGTCCACGGACTCGTCGTACATTACAGGTTCGGATTGACGCGCCTGGAAGAGAGAACGGGAGGAGAGGTAATGGGAGACGGGACGACTTTTGAGTCGACTCAAAAGTCACCTCAATTGTCCACGGAATCGTCGTACATTACAGGTTCGGATTGACGCGCCTGGAAGAGAGGACGGGAGGAGAGGTAACAGGAGATGGGACGGCTTTTGAGGCGCCTCAAAAGTCACCTCAGTTGTCCACGGAGTCGTCGTACATTACAGGTTCGGATTGACGCGCCTGGAAGAGAGAACGGGGAGGAGAGGTAATGGGAGACGGGGGACGAGAAGCACGGTAACAGGGAATGGGAGAAAAATATACGATTTCAAGCTGGCTCAGTTGACCCACCTGTAACAGGAAATGGATCGAGCAAAGGTTAGCAGTAGCAATCAGTAAGCTGCAAGCTGTCCTTCAATGTCGATTGGACGAAAAAAATCACAAGGTGATTGATAACCACTGAAGATAAACGTCACAGTGATGAGAAACGTTTCAATTCAAGGTCACGGCTGACCTTTGCGGGAAATCCTCCCCGTTGAACCTCTTCCGGCGGAGATTCGCATTTGCCTCGCCTGCTGGCCGTCGCGAGTAGTCGAGACATCCTGTCACTGACTGCGTCCGTCCAACCCATGTTTGTGCGGGTTACAGGGAGCAATTTCTGACACCAACAACCGTGGTTACGAGATATTTTGGCACTGACGGGTTATTCGTGTCCCTAATCGGTCACTAACGATTCAGTTCGAGGAAACGGTCTGTAAATTCAGAGTTTGCTCTGAAACGAAGCTAAACTCTGTGATTCGGACGATTTCTGCCAGCAAAATGAAATCCAAGCTTTGCGGCCTAGCAGGCACAGTCCGAGGAGCAGAACCGATCGTGACACTAAAGGAGGTGATAACAGCCGAGTGAAATAGGGATACTGGTATGAGGGTGACGATGGTGGATGGTCATTCCCATGGACTGTGACCAAAGGGCAACTCTAAAGCTAGACGAACCAATCAGGAAAGCTTGCCAGCAAGGCAACATGACCAGCTGACATGTCCGAGGTTCACACTGCGTTTATTGAGTGTGACTACACTTGTGTCAACCAGGTACAGTAAACAAGCAATTGTAAATTCACACTCGATCTGCCGCTATACCGAATGCTGTCAAGAGTCAGATAATAGCGAGACGATGTTGTGCTTGCTCCAGCCTTTACCTGCTGCTTTTGATTGGTCACATTTCAGCATAGTTGGCACCCACCTTTACCATGGATTCGCTTGATCTTGTCACTGCTGCTCCATAAGAGCGGGTGTGAGTCTGTACAATTCTAAACGCGCGTTCACACCTACTTTTGGCACCACAAAAGTTTTTTTCATGCCATTGTACCCTAGGCTTCTCACATCCAAGCCAAGACCCCAATGGAAATCCTGACTCGTCGTCACTCGGAACCATTCGTGTCCCATCACTGTAGCGCCCCGCAGTTCTTGCCAAGTTGGAGAGCGCAAGCAGGGACACCCTAGAACGCTTGGCGTGTAAAGTCCATGCCTCCCAGGCTCCCTCTCCTGGGCCTCTTGGATTCGGAAACTTCCAGAGTTCTGCCGAGAACCCTCATGTCTCCCCGCTTCTAGCCATCAGCTCCGACCACCACAGTCACGAGCAGCAAACTCAACTCAACTCTGGCTCATCCACAAAGAACTCCAGAGAGCAAAATTTTGAAGATCTTGTTCCAGAACAGCAGGATAGGAGTCTCGTTTCGTCTTGGGCTTTCAGCCTTGAGGTTGGCTGAGCCGCGAAGGGCGCTGGTGTCTGATTTTCCGGTGTTCAACCCTAGCTTTGCCGATTTAAGCCCGCTCAAGGTCTCGCACTGGAGTTCTGTGCCAACTGTTAGCCTGTTTCGTTACTCTATGTTCACGTCAACCCCCTCCTTTTCTCACGGCTCCGCGTCAGCGATGACGTCAGCAGCAGAGCCACCGCTTTGCCTTGGAGGCGCACACGGTATCGATCTGCTCGGATCTTCCGTTCCGACTTCCATAGAGGACCGTGATGACGTGGATGATCTGACGGAGGAGGACGTCTGGTTTCCCGGCGATGTTGACAACTCGCCAGCAGTTCGAACCACTCAGGCTGACGCCGCACGTCCACTGGCCGTTGAATCTATCGGTCGAAGTTTCGTTCCCTCCACCAGGGAACCTCTCGTTCCGCTTTCTGGTAGAACCGTCACGCGGGGTCCGACAGATGCCGTTTCCGCGATCTTAAACTCACGCGATGGCTCGTCGAGTAAACCGCTTGGCCTGTCTCTTGTTCCCACGCTCGTCGAGCCTAACACGGGTGATAGCATCAGGGTCCCTAACATTGGGGGCGATATTATCAAAGGCTCTTCAGGCGCTCTACCGACTTCCTCCGTTCTTATCCCGAGACCGGTACCAAGTCCTCATAACGCAATCCGACCAATGACAAGAGCATCCGCTCCCATACATATTCCTTGCTGGGGGAAGTCCTCCGCTCCGCGACAACTCCCTGCTGCAGGACCGAGCAGAATGGGGTTGAGAGGGGAGGAGCAGCAGGAGGAGGATGAGGTTATTCCTCCGCACGAAATCGTTGCGAGGCAGTACGCTCAAAGTGTGAATTTCTCGGTGACGGAGGGGGTTGGGCGGGCTCTTCGCGGGAGGGACTTGGCTCACGTGCGGACGGAGATCCTTCGCAAAACTGGGTTCTTTGAATGACACAGACAGCTCGATTGAGGAGCATCCCTCGTGTGCAGGTCTTTCTGGAAGTCTATTCTGGGGTTGGAAGAAGATGGAGGATGAGCCGCTGCAGCAGTGAGGTACCAAGTTGAAGGGCAGAAGTTTTGAGGCACTTCAGAGGGGAACTACGGTCACCATTTTTGTTCAGCCGCCATTTGGGATGTGGTGATGGCTGTTTGTCACGTTCTTGCAGCCTCATGCTCGTGTCATGTACATGTAGGTTCTTGGTATAGTTTGCCTCCCTCCCATTGCTGCAAGTTTGAGGGAATTATGTAGGGTAGGACATGTAATCAGCAACTTCGTACATCAGCTTCATTGCTTCAAGTGTCTGACATTCGTGTAGGACATGCAATCAGCATCTTTTGTTAATAAAAAGGGCTGATTCTGATAAAACCATTTCTTCATTACACAATGATACGGTCTGTGTGAGTATCGCATTCCAACATACAGTACCGGTAATACGACGATACAATTGGAAAACAAGGGAAGCTCCTTGATGCCAGTGACGGCAAGAAGGATGTCTGACACTCCTAAAACAGCGTGGCATTCCAAGGAACAGGAAAACCCACTGGATACGTGGAATACCCTTGTGGAATGTCCGTGCCATACTGGAACGCTCCATAGTACTTCTGTGGGAGGACGCGGAAGTTCTCTCCTCGTATGGCTTCAGCGGCTGCTAGCAAGCCGTAGAAGTAACTTAGGAAAAGTCCGTACATGAGAAAGAGCATGCCGATGGCGGAAAACCAATCCAGCCAGTCTATGGCCTTGAATCGCTGCATCAGAGTAGGTCGGATCTCGAGCGGCGCGGAGAGGGAGGAGGGCCCTCCTGAGAAGATTCCATCGGATTCTGCACTGTTAACGGGGACGGCGTAGAAAGGCGCCGACGACATTCTAACGAAGCGCTCGAGAAGCGTGTACCGAAGGAAGTTCTTCGACTTGGCAAGCAAGAAGCCGCGGAAACGGCAGCGATAAATATCAAGAGGACCCGAGGGGATGACAATGCGCTTGAATGGGTGGAAAGGGACGGCCTTTTATCAAATATTTACACCTCTGGGATGCAGGACAAGGTTGTCACCCAAGTAGCTACAGAAATTAATAACCTAAACCAATTCCGTAACAGGGAAAGCTAGGCTACCAAATTCACAACTAAGCTGATTTTTCGCACCCTAGCAACACCAACCATTAGCAACCGTCATTGCATCCGAGGCTGGAGGGCGCAGGAAAGCAAGGGTTGTGTTGGCTTGGAGGAACTTGAGCAGAACGGGGGAAGCGAGGGGCACAGAAGAGCGAGGAGCGTGGGTTCGAGGGGAAGCAAAAGAGGAGCGCGGTGCGTTGCGGTGCGGTGAGAGAGCATGGAGAGGCAGGCTCGGTTGGGTTGGGGATGAGATGAGCGCAGGAGGCGCTGTCGGAAGCGGAGATCCCAAGGAAAAGGTAGAGGGGCTGGGGGGGGCAACGACAAATTCGGAAATGGAAGGGGCTGACTGGAGGGATCTCTGGGATGAAGGAAAATGGTCAGATGATGCGCTACAATGGTCAGATGGCAATTTCTACTGTAAAAGCGGTAGTCTGGCGGAATTAGTCGGGCACACCACCATTTCTTTGGTTATCCCTCCACAAAGACATCAAATATTCCCAGAATTTATGCTTTATACTTTTGTATTCTTAAAGCTCCGGTACACATATGAAAGGAGGGGTTCAAAATCCTTAAGAACTTGAAAAAATGCCCCAAAACTGTAAGGCACTCTGCAAAACCTTGAACCTCACTGACAAATGTATACTGGAGCTTTAATTCATATCATGATACCTCAACCACAGGCATTCCTACAAAAAGTCTACTCCATCCTGTCCTTTCTGCCCTAGCCTCACCAACCTCCCTCGCCACCCGGACCACCCTCTCATCCACATTTGGGCACCGTGCCAGGTGGCACCTTGCGATTTTCTCAAGGCCATTTAACTCATGTGTGACGCCCTGTGTGGTAACCCCATTACAGGCGCGGAGGGAGAGAGTAGAGAGCAGTGGGCAGTGCGATGCGATGGTCTGAAGGAGGTCTGAGAGGTGGCTGGCACGGAAGCCAGAGAAGCAGATGTGCTGCAGGCTGTGGCACGACTTCACCAGCGGGATTAGCCCTGCCTCTGAGATCTCCCTGTGAGCAGAAAGGACGGAAGGATGGGCATGTGAGATAATAGGGTGAGGAAATGGAAGTACAAGGTTCAGGGTAAAAGGAAATCAAATAGAAAGGGGAAGATGACAGCAAAGGAGGGGCGGGGAGGGGAGAGGGATGAGCGGGGCAGGATAAAGAAGGGAGAAAGTAACATGCATTGGGATATAGACAAACCAGCCGGATCAGATTGAACGATCACCACTGCACACCACCCATCACCACACTACACCGAGCACCACCGCAACGCACCTGCAGTACTCCACGGCGAGTGTGGAGAGGCGGGGGCAGGTGGCAGCAGCGAGCAACAGGAAGGAATCGGAGAGCCCATCCAACCCCTCCAGCTGTAGACTCTCCACCCCACTCCACCCCAAAGTAAATCCATCTCGAGTCAATCCATCTCGGGTCAATCCATCCCGAGCCAATCCATCTCGAGCCAGCTCCGCCTCTGTCGTCCCCTCAAAGGCGGTAGACCACCGTCTTGCATCCAGCACGTCTCAAGCCAGTTGCAGGCCAGTGAAGCCGGGACTCCATTTGAGCTGCAGCGATCGCAAGCTCACTCCATACACCACCACCGCCCCTAGACTCTCATCAGTCACCCTCGCCGTTTCACCGTTGACATCCCCCCCCCTCCTCCTCCCATCCCTCCTCCCTCTCCTCCTCCTCCCTCTCCTGGGCCTCCACTCCCTCCTTCGCACCCACTCAGAGTCAGGCTATTAATAGTGGGGCAGCTTTTCAGGAGAGCTACAATGCAGTTGTCACTCACACCCTCACAGTCGACTATTTCCACACTCTCCAGCCGGGCAGCTGTCCGGACAGCGGTAAAAAAAAACTGGTCAAGCGGGTCCGGGCAGGCCATGATGGTCAGCCTGCGCAGGGCGGGCAGCTGCCCGGCAAACATTTCCAGCCAATGGGCATCGAGCGCGCAGTTGACGACTTTCAAGGAGGAGAGGTTGGGGAAGGATGCAGCTAGATTGCCTCCCCGCCCCTCTGCTGCTGCCCCCTTTCCTCCCTCTGCTCCTGCTTGCACCTCTGCTGCCTCTGCCTCTCCACTCTTCCCTCACTGCCCCACCCCACCCGTCCGCCTCATTCGCTCCCATCGCCCCATGCGCTCTTTCCACTTCGCCGGGCTCTTCCCCCACCCCTTCCCCCGCCGCACTCCCTCCGCCAGGCGCACTGCGCGCTTTCTTCGCCACAACAGACAGAGTCAGATCTTCAAAACAATCTCCTCCAATCCGGGGCACTTCTCCGCCAGCTCAGCAAACCCGCCGCCACTCACGTTCGGACAGCTGCCGATCGAAAGCTCCTTCAGCCCGCCGCACCGCGCCACGAACCCCAAAAACCGGTCCGTTAATTACGTGCACTTATAAACCGTCACTTTGCTAAGCATCGGGTGACCCTCCACTCCACGCATCGCCAAAACTCGTCCGACGACGGCAACGGATCGTGCATCTCGATGTGCCGAATGTTGCGCCCCCACGTGGCGACCACGTGCCTCATGTAATCCAGGAGACCCTGCTGTACCTCGGATTCCACCTGCGTGCCGGCCACCTGTTGGATCTGCAGGGGCGTGTTGAGAGTGAGGATTCGCACTATCGCTGTAAGGTCTAGAATTTGCTGGCCGCTGATAGGAGACGCAACCGCGGCGGCGGCGGCGGCGGAGGAGGACGGGGGAGTTGAGGCGGCGGCGTGAGGTGAGACGTTCCGCGTTTCGCCTCCCCCAGACTCTGTTCCGCTTCCCCCGACCTGCGCCCCGCCTCCCATAATCCCCGTTCCGCCTCCCCAACCCCCTGCTCCCACTCCCCCGCCTCCCCCCCAGCCCGTGCGCTTGTGGTGGCGGTCGTCCGCAGCGCGCTCCTCCCGCGGCGCCCCCGGCAGCACTGTGGGACCGAAGAGGCGGATGTGCAGTGTGCGGATGAGGGGGAAGCGGCGCAGCACGAAGCGGAGCTCCGTTGAGCCGACCTGCGGAAATGTTGGGGGTAGGGGAGCGGAGGGGGGGACACGGGAAGAGGGCGGGGTGGGAGGGAGGGTGGGAAAAGAGGGGGGAGGTGAGGAGTGCATGGGGTAAGAGGGAAGGCGAGGAGAAAATGAAGAAAGGATGCCTTTTGAGTCGATTCAAAGGTCGCCTCATAAAGAAAGGATGCGGGTGAGTGTCGGAATCGGCAGGAAGTAACGCTCCGACGTGACTTTTGAGTCGACTCAAAAGTCGCTCCGAAAGAACGGGATTCCTGCCAAGTTTCGGAACGGGAACCGAGCTTTAGGGTATGACATCATGCAGCAAAGGTCAACTTCGAAAAGTCGATTTACCTCGCTCTGCATGCAATGCTGAAGCATTTGCCTGCTTTCGCACAAAATGCAGCAGAGGCATTTGTCTCGTTATAAAGCAGGCCTGAATCGAATTTCCGTGGTTCCGCACGTAATGCCGAGGCAGCGGAAGTGTTGGGTTCCCAAAGCGAATAATACCTCGCTCTGCATGTAATGCGGCAGCAGTCGCTCGTAGCGAAACCACAGGCTACACACGAGCGACACGGAGCACCGGTCTGCGACGGACAGATGCGAAAAGATCTTCGCGATCACGTCGCGCGGCAGCTTGTGGATCGCCGCCGGCTCGTACGCCGGCCATGGCGGTGGGTGGCTCGGCGGCGGAGGCTCGCTCGGTGGTTGGCTCGGCGGATTCGCCGGCAGATATTGGTCTTGCTGCGACAATTGCGACGGCGGTGCCATGAATGAACCCTAATACAAAGCGACTGGACGGTGGGCTATGAAGTGAGATGCTGCCGAAAGCTCAAAAGCAGAAACTGTATTTGGTCAAAGCTGGGAAAATTGTAGGTTCTGGAAATGAAGGTGAGTGACGCTCTTTTCTACGAGTGATGCTCTACTTTTTTCGTTCAGGGTTGGTTGACGCGGTTGAATACGTTCAACCTTGGTTGAGAGCGGTTTGTTTATGTAACCCTTTTGCACCATTGCGCACCTGAATGAACCGTTCACAGTCAATTCTAAACAGCGTAGAATTATCCGCTCTGGTGCGAGCGGGGGAGAGCGAGGGAGAGCAGGTGTGGGGGGGGGAGGGTGGGAAAGGGGCGGGATAGAAGGGGGACGGGGAGGGGAGGGGTGGAAGAAGGGGGAAGTGGAAGGGGAAGAGGAGGAAGTGGGATGGAACAGTAAGAGGACTACTGTACAGATCAGAACTGTGCAGTGTGAGCGTGGACAACCACTCGCAGGGAGAACTGTTATTGTAGCTACTGTATCACCCCGAATGCGGCGCCACCAGCCATCCGTCCGCCGCCCAACCAACCATGGCCAATGGTTTCAGGGTAAATTTTCGGCATACTCTTTAAATACGAGCGTAATGTTTCCGGCCTTCTCTTCAAATCAGAATGGATTCTGACACCCAGCTTTCAAATAACGGGGTGTGACGAATATGACTCGGCCTATTTCAGGTTCGTGTTTGTTTAACATAAATCTAACTCGGCCCAATATAGTGTTGAAACGATTCTACCAGGACTACTCTACTTTTTTAACTCGGCCGAGCTGAGTGGCGCGTTTTTTCACACTAGACTATAACTGAAAGAGTGCCTTGAAACGAAGAACTGACCCTGCTGTACCCAAAATTGTATTCAAGTGTTGATGTTCCCGCGGCCCGCCCAAATTGAAGGGATGAGCAGCGAGTGGCTGTGATGTGATGAGGTGTGAAGTGAGGTTTTCCATTGGTCATTGGTGATTCAGTCGATTGGTAGAAGGTGGGTGCATCCACCCCACCATCGTAAACAACAACGGACACCAGCAGCAGCAGCAGCAGCAGCAGCAGCAGCAGCAGCAGCAGCAGCAGCAGCAGCAGCAGCAGCAGCAGCAGCAGCAGCAGCAGCAGCAGCAGTAGCATGGCCACATGTTATAGGCTGCAGCTACACCTAGTCTGCGGTATTTTAACCGCCGCTATCCTAACCACGTGAGGGTACTTCTCCTTGGTCAAACTTGTTTCTACGGGTAGTTTGAAAATTAATGAGGGTATAAATTAGCATTCCCTTCGCGATATGACGGCAGTACAAACTTTGTCAACGCCGGTCCACCCTCTATCTCTGAGCACTAAGTGTGAGTTTCTGTACACGGAGATGCTTCCGGCTGCAAACAACTAGCCCTGAAGACTCTGTGTGCCCATTTCTTTACCCGAAAACGAACAAAGGGTGTTTGAAACAAAACAGTTCATGTGGTTAAAATACCGCGGACTAGGTGTACCCGCATGTTTGGGCGCCAATACTGTACCGTCACTGTCAGTGTTGTGCCTTGCCCTAGCGGCAACTCCCAGGCTGGGTTTTCGCAGCCAGGTCTAAGTAAAACCTGGTGACGGCAAGGCCGCCAGTAATAACTACGCGTAACTTCAAGAGCCTGTTACATGAAGGTTACTCATCAGTTGGTAAATTTGAGCACAGATCTGTAATCCTGAGTTCTTTAAGATGCAGGGGATATACTTTTTATGTCTACAACGCGGACATTCTATCATCGGCTACTTGGGACCGGCTCACTGATTCAAACGCGTATCAAGCTAAGCAACTACCAAGGCTCCTTAATAACATCGCAAGCAAGTCTGATCTGTCAGCTACAACGCGTCATTCCCGTGATTACAACTTTCTAAGCTGGTACATTATCTACAATGATCAATAACCTGGACATGATCCCAAGGCTTCAACCTCGGGAATACAGCATTTTGATTAAGAGCGCAAGTCGAAGGCGGGGAAAAGTGTCAAACTTATATATGCTATAGTCTGTTTAGGCTGTAGTGGGGTAGTTCTTAGAGGGTACAACACATTTTGTGTTTTCTACTTGTACCCATCTCCTTTCTAGTTTCATTCATTCTTCTCGTTAATTCTCACATGGTATAGAGCAGGTTCCCTAGTGGGACTGTTTCTCCCTAAGGGCCCACCACGTTTAAAACTTTTTTTTTCCTGCCCGAAGCGCGCTTCGCGCACTGCCCTGACCTACCCCTACGCGGCCCCTTAGCGGCCCCTTCGCGGCCCCTTAGCGGCCCCTTCGCGGCCCCCTAACGGCCCCTTCGCGGCCCCCCTAGCGGCCCCCTTCGCGGCCCCTTCACGGCCCCTTAGCGGCCCCTTCGCGGCCCCCCTATCGGCCCCTTATCGGCCCCTTCGCGCCCCCCCCCCTAACGGCCCCTTCACGGCCCTTTCGCGGCCCCCTAACGGCCCCTTCGCGACCCTCTAAGGCCCCTTCGCGACCCCTTATCGGCCCCTTCGCGGCCCCTTAACGCCCCCTTCGCGACCCCTTATCGGCCCCTTCGCGGCCCCTTAACGGCCCCTTCGCGGCCCCTTTTCGGCCCCTTCGCGGCCCCTCAGTGGCCCCTGCTAGCGACGTCGCCCCTGCATGTGGCGTCGCCCCTGCTAGCGACGTCGCCCCTACCCGCGGTGTCGCCTCGGCCCACGGCGTCGCCCCAGCCCGCGGCGTCGCCCCTGCCCACGGCGTCGCCCCTGCTCGCGGCGTTGCCCCTGCCCACGGCGTCGCCCTTGCCCACGGCGTCGCCCCTGCTCGCGGCGTTGCCCCTGCTCGCCGCGTCGCCCCTGCCTGCTGCCGCAGCCCCTGCTGAAGCGGCACCTGCAGTCGCGGCCCCTACCCTGCTGGCGCGACACCTGCTGCTGCGGCCCCCGCTGTCAAGGCCCGGCCCCGCACCCGCTCCTGGTAAGCACCCGAGCCGCCCCGCCGAGCCGCGCCGCCCGGCCGAGCCGCGCCACCCAGCCGAGCCGCGTCGCCCAGCCGAGTCGCGCCGCCCAGCCGAGCCGCGCCGCTCAGCAGAGCTGCGCCGCCCCCACCAAACCGCACTGCCCTACTGAGCAGCACTGCCTTGCACTGCCCTGCTGCTATTGCTTCTACTGCTGCCATGGCTAGTCCTACCGTTCTCACCTTTGATGCTGAGGGACGTGCAGTTGATTTTGACGTGTGGGTTGACGACCTACAGCTCTTCCTTCAGTGTGATTCTAGGGATGGGGTGTCCCTCTTCGATCACACGTCCGGTGTTTCCACTGCTCCTGCTGCCACTGCTGACAGTACTGTTCGCTCGCAGTGGACCACTCGTGACGCTGTTGCTCGTCTTGCTGTTCGTAGTCACCTACCGCCTGCTGAGCGCGCGCATTTTGGCCAGTACAAGACTGCTCAGTCTTTGTACGACGCTGTAGTTGCACGCTACTCCTCCCCTGCCACTGCTGCCCTCAGCCGCCTCATGCTACCGTACCTTTTCCCTGACCTTGCTGCCTTTGCCACTGTCGCTGACCTAGTTGCTCACCTTCGCACTAGTGACGCCCGCTACCGCGCTGCCCTTCCCACTGAGTTCTGTGCCAAGAACCCCCCCCCCATGTACATCACCCTGTACTACCTAGTCACCCGCCTCCCTGACTCTCTCTCTTCAGTGCGGGACCAATTTCTCTCCCTTTGCCCCACCGAGCTGACTGTCGACCTGCTAGAGGAGCGCCTTGCTGCAGCTGAGAAGAGTATCTTAGCTGTAGGTGCTTCTCGCGGCGACCGTCGCACCCCCTTCTTTGAGGGGTGTTACCCTGTCCCCCTTCTCCCCTCTGTTGCTTCTGCTGCTGCTGTCGACCTCGTTGGCACTGAGGAGGTCGGCGCTGCGTCTGCCTCTAGTGGGAGACGCCGCACCAGCAAGGGCAAGGGGAGCAAGGGTGGTGGAGGGGGCGGCGGGGGAAGCAGTGGAGGAGGTGGAGGCGGCGGAGGTGGTGGTGGGGGTGGTACCGGGAGTGGGGGCGTCAGTGGCGGCGGTGGAGGTCGTGGCGGCAGTGGCGGAGGAGGTGGAGGCAGCGGCAGCGGTGGTGGAGGTAGTGGAGGAGGTGGTGCTGGTCGAGGTGCAGCCGTGCAGTGTGGAGGCTTTGGTGGCAGCCAGCGCCAGCAGCAGCTGCGCACCCGTGAGACCCCGTCGGTTCAGCAGCTTCGTGAGTGGTACGCTGGGCGTGGGAGGTCTAGGGGTGCAGGTCCCTGCACTTACGTTCTTCGCACCGGCACTCGTAGTGGGGAGGTGTGTGGGCTCCCACATACCACGCAGCGCTGCTTCGGTCGCTCGACTGACGCTTGGCGTACCCAGTTTCCTGACGCCGTTGAGCTTCCTCGTTGGCATGATCTGCTTCTGCAGAATGTGCCTATCTTTGATCTAGACTTTGATGCTATCCTTGCTGCCATGTATGCTCTTGCTGATAGTGCTGAGGGTGACTGTTACCTGAGTGTCCCGCCCGACCCGGGCATTGCGGCTGCTGCTCTAGGTGCTAGTGCGTCTGCTGCTCCAGGTGCTGGTGCGTTTGCTCTCTCTGGTACTGCACCTACTGCGTCCTTGCACACTTTCACACTTGACTCAGGTGCTTCGCGCTCTTTCTTTAGAGACAGCACCACGCTCACGCCGCTCAGTCGGCCTGTTGCGGTCTCCCTTGCTGACCCCTCCGGGGGCCCAGTCCTTGCACACTCCTCCACGGTTCTACCGTGTCCTGCGGCCCCGTCGGGCTTGCTGTCGGGACTCCACCTCCCCTCGTTCTCTACGAACTTGGTGAGTGGAGCTGACCTCCAGGACGCGTGGGTTGACCAGTTCACCCCTGGAGGTCAGCGTGTGACCCACTGCACTTGCTCTCGGACGGGCCGCCACCTGGCCACGTTCACCCGTAGGCCAGGGTCGAGTCTGTACACACTGACTACTGTGCCTCCTCCGGTCCCTGCGTCTGGTCAGGTAGCTGCGTCTAGTCAGGTGTTTGCTGCCGCGTCCAGGTCTAGTCCTGCGTCTGCCCCTTGCTCGTGTCGTCCTCTGGCGCACGAGACTCTCCTCTGGCACCACCGCCTTGGTCACCCCTCCCTGCCTCGTCTTCGAGGTATGGCCTCACGTGCTCTTGTCTCTGGACTCCCCAGGTCCCTCCCTCCCCTTCCTCCGGGGCCTGCCCCCACCTGTGTTCCTTGTGTCGAGGGCCGGCAGCGCGCCGCTCCTCACTCCTCCTCGTTTCCTCCGACTGAGGCCCCTCTGCAGACTCTTCACATGGACGTGTGGGGCCCAGCCCGCGTCCGTGGACAGGGTCACGAGCGTTACTTCCTGCTGGTCGTTGACGACTACTCGCGTTACACCACAGTCTTCCCCTTGCGCGGCAAGGGTGAGGTCCCTGAGGTGTTGATCGACTCGATCCGCGGTGCTCGTCGCCAGCTTAGTGAGAGTTTCGGCTCAGACCTTCCTGTTCTGCGTCTGCACTCAGACAGAGGCGGGGAGTTTTCCTTCGACCTCCTGAGAGCCTTCTGTCGTTCTGAGGGCATCCGCCAAACGTTCACGCTTCCGGCCTCCCCGCAGCAAAATGGGATTGCTGAGCGCCGCATTGGCATGGTCATGGACGTCGCTCGTACGTCCATGATCCATGCGGCTGCTCCCCATTTTCTGTGGCCGTTCGCGGTTCAGTACGCTGCGCATCAGATCAACCTTCAGCCTCGTGTCTCCTTGCCGGAGACCACACCTACTCTGCGGTGGACGGGGAAGGTTGGCGATGCGTCCACGTTCCGTGTCTGGGGATCTCGAGCTTTTGTCCGCGATACTACGGCGGACAAGCTGTCCTCCCGTGCCGTTCCATGTGTCTTCCTTGGCTTCCCTCCTGACGCACCCGGGTGGCAGTTCTACCACCCCACCTCGCGTCGTGTTCTGTCCTCTCATGACGTCACGTTTGACGAGTCGGTGTCGTACTACCGTCTTTTCCCCTACCGCACTGCCTCTCCCCCCCCCCCCCCGCCGCTCTTCCTCGCACCAGGTACTCCCCCGGTAGACCCCCTCCCCCCCTAGGGTCCTGCCCCCTCAGGTGTGTCCCAGGTAGACCCTGCCGAGCCGGTCGAGGTGGCTGTCGACTCAGGTGCTGC